TCCTTTTGTTCTCAAGGCAGCTTGCCTGACCATCTCACCGTTAATCTCTGTATACACGGATTCCGGATACTGGTCATCAATTGGCCCCGAAAGCAGTGAACCTAATTTGGCTGATTGTGGATTGGGATGTTTCTGTTTTAACTGCGACATGACCTCAGCTGTTAAAGATAGCACACCACCACTAGTTGTTTCACTCAGGAAACGCAGCGCTGAGTTGATTTGGCCTTCAAGTACAAGTTTAGCAAAAACCTTAGATCTATCGGGCGGTTCCGACGCCTTGAGTTTTCCCATACGACCTTGAATAATTCTACCTTCGCGTAATAACTTATTAATTTCACCTTGCCTCCAAAGTATTAGGCACTTAGACAAGACATCTTGATGATCTTTTGCCTTAGACTTCGGGATTGGCTTTTGGAGCCCTACAGCGAGAAGCACAAAAGCTGCTTTCAGAGATATGTGCTGATTGTCGGAACCACTATTCCAGTCATTAATATGCAAAGTCACTTGATCGATAAAATCCCTTCCTACTTTCCCATACGGTACAAGAAATACGTCTTTTTTTCCAGGTTGCGATCTCGTTGTAAGCATCTGTTATGACTGACGTCGATACAACAATTGCATTACCATCGCTTCGTTTCCCCCAGTTGATCATAGATGGCTTGTAAATGGTATTATACTCTGGAAGGCATCCCGGGCTGTTTAAATGGTTTTCACCTTGCTCTTTCTGCTCTACGTCTCCTGGGATTTGAGGAGTACTAGCTATATGTAAATCTTGGTTTGATGAGGCTAACAGATTAGCATATTGTGATTCACTCCCTTTTTCTTCAAGAATAGAGAAATCTGTATTTATGGGAAAAGAAGTAAAGCCTGTCGAGTTTGCTCCGATTTGTGCATCCGTAGACACGATTCTTTGAGCGAGAACTCTTGAATTTGCATCCGTCTGTGCCTCCCACGATAGGTTTTCTGAACTCTCTTCTAGCGTTTTCTCAAGTCTAGCTGCTTGATCTCGTAAGTTCTGGCTTGACAGTCCGAGATCTCCATATCCTTTCGCATCCCAGAGCTCACTCATAATTCTGATATAGCCTTTTTTCCTCCCATTACCATCCAGCGGTGGTTGTTCCAATAGCGTCATAGCCACGGCCTCTCGTTTGCAGCTTAGAAGATCGGCATTCATTTGTTCCGTCCATTTGCGTCTAGGTTTTAATTTTCTTCGTTCAGTCATCCTTATGAATAATAATGCTGGCGATAATCGGAAACTTTTGGCTATAAACAATTCCAAAAAAGAGCTGCTTTAAACATTTTAAGAAATCATCTTTGCCTCCGAGAAAACGTGACCGTACTAATAATAATGAATAATAATAATAATAATAATAATAATGATAATAATAATAATAATAACAACATCACCATCATGTGGGACATGCCAGTCAATACTGGTAGAACTATAACAGCGAACAGACCAGATATCATCGTTAAAGATTCAGTGACTTCCACCTGCAAACTCATTGATATGACTGTTGCATCAGATAGAAACATCGCACTGAAGGAAACTGAAAAAAAATGCAAGTACAAAGACCTAGAACTAGAAATACAGAGAATGTGGCATATGAAAACCGTAGTGATCCCTGTGGTTGTTGGTCCGCTTGGTACAGTGAAGAAGGGTAGAAAACACCTAGAAAGTATCAGAGAGAGCTACTATGACAGAGATTCCAAAGATCTGCATGCTGGGATCTGCACGAATCCTCAGAAAGGTGCTCAGTGTATGAACAGAATGATTGACTTGAGTGACTGACGCTCTAGGTGCATGGTTTGCGCCCGGCTGATGCACAAAAAGAACACCAGCAAAGACTTGATAATAGAGACAATAATAATAATAACAATATAGATTCTTATTAAGCGCATTTCTACCCTCAATGCGCTTTACATTATGAAAGCCGATTGAAGATCATTACATTTCTAGCCTACTGTGACATTATACATCAAGTACTGTAAAACTTTAAAAATCCTAATTGTAAAACTTTAAAAATCCTAAACTGTTAAGCATGAAAATCAATTGTGACAATATAGATAAAGTATTGTATAACTTTAAAAAAAATCCTAAAATGTTATGTTTGTAAAAACTTTGAAAAACCTACTTGTAAAACTTAAAAATCCTAAAATGTAAGGCGTGAAAATCAATAATCAAGTATTGTAAAACTTAAAAAAAAAACCTAAAATGTTAAGCATGAGAATCAATTGAAAACATTTCCTGAATAGAAATGTTTTAAGTTTTGTTTTCAATGTTGTAACACTGCCCGCATTTTGTATATATTCTGGGGTAGTGTTCCATAACTGAGGTGCAGCAGTGGAAAACGCACGTCCTCCATATGTTTTGGATTTTATGGCTGGGGTGCATAATACCGAGCGGGATGACGATCGTAGAGCTCTTGATGGATGATAATCCTTAATCAGAGGTTCCAGATATCCAGCAGATTGTCCATTTAAGATCTTATATGTGATAAGAAGAATCTTAAAATGAATCCTTGCTTCCACATGTAGCCAGTGCAGGCTCTTTAATAAAGGTGTAATTTGGTCAGAGCTGCGGGCTCCTGTTATCATTCGAGCTGCAGTATTCTGAATTCTTTGTAACTTATCTCTCTGATATTTTGGGATGTCATATAAGAGACTATTGCAATAGTCGAGCCTGCTGGAAATCACAAGGGAATTCACCAACATTTTCAATCCATCGGAAGGAAGGTACTATCGAATACGACCAATTGATCTTATGGCATAACTGGCTTTCTTGCACATTTCGTTGATATGTTCAAGGTTTCCAAGGTTTCCAAGTTCCACCGTCAAGGAATCCGGAATCCAGTGCCTAGAGTCCGAAGGCACAGCGCAGAATCCAGAATCCAAACTATTAAAGACTGCAGTCTTGGATTAGCGCTGGGACGAAATGTTGATCCTACTTATAATAAAGCTAAATGTCACTTATTTTTCTTGTCCCTTTTCTTTTCGTTTTATTCTTTCTTGTTTATTTACCCACTTCCACTCTCTACGGGAATGGCTTTAATACTTTTTGGAAATTAAAGTGATTTCTGAATTTTCTTAGGAAAAAAGAAAACTGGAGCACCTGTGACGGACGGGGGACCATTGTTGCTCTAGAACAACAACATGTCTGAAGCTACGAAACACTGGAAACAATCGATCAGTTAAATTAAATGGAATCAATTTGAACTGCAAGGAGAGCTCAGCCTGCTCAGCGTAGTGACAACATTGCCGTATCTTTGTGTTCTAATTTCCCACGTATACACAGCAGCCAATAAAAAAGGAAATTGGAATAAAATAATAACAATAGTAATAAACTGAATCAGCCAACTGCTTAGTCTCTCCAAGAGAGGATGAAGCTTTATCCTCTTTTGGTCTCTCCTATTCCCCATTCTTCTTGGCGATAAGTTTCCCTGTAAGCACAGGGGATAACATTTGAGTAAGAGGAGCTCGCCCGCCAGGACAGTTTAAACGCGGCGTTTTACCACTGGAAATGGTGCATATAGTCTTTCTCGCATTCTTTTTAGTGTCTCTGCCAGAAACGTTTGCATGGGACGGCGGGAATTGTTCCCTCCATCTCCTTCTCCCCTATCCCCATCCCTCTCAGTTTATTTAACATTCAGTATTGTCTGGCTAACGACTGCAATAACCAGAGTGTTGCTCCTCGGCTTTCGCTCACAGTTGCTCCATCAGCTTCCACTACCCTTACCATAAAGCTGATTTTACCCCTTCACCAGAATACTTGCCTCTGTATTCTTTGCCCTGAGAGTGTCTTTGTAAAAACTGTAGGTTTAGAAGGTAAACGTTTGCATAGACCGTTTCTCGCCTTGAGCAGGGCACGAAAAACAAAACCAGTCACAGCTAGCCAGTAGCTGCAAAATTTATGTGGTCTATTTTCTGAAAGATAGTTTCAGTCTGATAAAAACGTAGGAAGCTTTAAAGGCGCTATGTCAGGAGGATACTACTGTTTTAGGTCAATTATGAGCTAAAGTCATACACAAAATGCTCTTGTAAAGTTATGAAGAAGATATCAAACAAACACTAACCACAGTTATCATTATTATTGTTTTTTTGGAATATTTCTTCAGGCATATCATTAAAAACTGAAAAATACAATGGTCCAGCTTTTTCAAATTTCAATCTTTTCCATCCTTACCGGCATCCTTTGCAACATGCAGACGACAGAAATCAGTTTCATTGCCTAAATATGGTCTTAAATAACAGATCTGCATCATTATTTTTGAATTTTAGTTGATGAAAAGACAAATTTTAGCTTTTTCAAAAAATGGGAAATAGCCTGACATAACCCCTTCAACAAAACCGTCTATTTAAGCAACAGACCACACCTTCTATGGGTTTACCGGCTTGATAACTCATAGAAAGTGTGGTCTATTGCTTTTATAAAATAACTTTAAGTTTTCTATGAGTTTACCGTACAATGAACAATAGGGTTCTAACCAATCAGATCGCACGTACTATCTTTATTAGTTATTTTATAACGGCTTTTAAACTAGTGTTTACAGTAAGCTGTTCATTACATTTTTAAATTTTTTGAAACCAAGCTAAAAGTAGCTTCTTTTAGAATATATATATATTTTTTGTATGCTGGATATATAGTGCATGATACTACTTCTTCCGAGCTCAAGGTGTCTTTTTTTTTGTAAACCAACGTATTTAATAAATGATGAGGCGTCTGATTTAAAATCAAGTTCGTTTATTATTTCTAATTATTAAGACTGAATACAAGGCCGCAACGAAGAAAAATATGTAACAACTACATATTAACTGGTAGAGTAGATATTGCAGTTTTTAACGATACGGTTCTTTCGAGAGCGTCATATTGGAGTTGGCAACCGGCAACTGGTAGAAAGGTCACCTTTTATGCCAGCCGTCGATCGACTGTCAGGGGAGACGCCTTTGCCCCCATAGTCGAGAATTAATGGTATGAGCCACGCAAGAGCTATAATGATTGTGGCTCGACGAGAAGTCATTAATGCTACGCATCTCAGGGGTTTCATGATAGCTATGTAACGATCAGTCGTCATAGCACATAAATTCGTTATTGATGAATTAATCGCCAGTACAGCTATATCTTGAGCTATTTCTTTCTTGCAAAGGGAACGTTCTCCGCACAGAAAATTGGTGGGAAAATAGATGAAACCAACAGCAAAGTCAGCCAAAGCCAGGGACGTGATAAACCAGTTAGGCCGTGTGTGTAATCGTGGCCTGGAGGCAATTAAAAACACTACCAGGGCATTTCCAAAGACTGCAACAACGCTTGGAAACCAACCAAGGATGTAAAACCAAGACATCGTACTGAATGAAGATCTTCACAGCTGTCTTTTGACAATTGATTTCAAAGCGACGCATGAGAATTGTGGATTTCTCGAAAGTGATCCCGTGACGTGGTCAGCTATCTTTAATTCAAATTAGGTGGAAACTGAAAAAGAACGAGAAACTCATTAACCGCCTTCAATTTATTTTTAGTTAGAACTAACCGCTTTCACGATAAAGAACGTAACATCTGTTCATATGCAATTGGTCCCACAAAATTGAATGTTACACTTTGCTCAGTCTTGGTGAGTTTAATTAGAGAGCTTTGTTTGGCTTCCACAGGCAGTTTTGAAGAGTAAAATCTATAACAATCAAGATGCTCAATAGAGAGGACATATCCTGTTGCGAGAGTAACATGAATGGATTGTAGATTTATACAGTTGTTTTTTTCATTGGCTGTTACTTAAGCACTTGTCGCGAAGAATATCCGGTTTCCAGTCGATGCTACCTCGCAAGTTGTCCTCTCTCTTCCCCATTCTTCCTGAAACTAGAAAATGATAGTTGGACGTGACTGCTTTAGTTAATAAAGAGTCAACAACAATTTCCAGTTGAAGACGAAAAGTCTCTTTTTCAAAAAAAAATATATATATAAATATGTAAAATTCTGCTTGGGTTGAACTGTCAAATGTCTCCTCTTATATTACTTGTGTCAAAAATTGTTTATTTAATAAATGTTTTTCCTTTATTTTTCATCCCCGGAAAGTAAAATCATGCGGATACACAAAAATGATGTAACATTACTATTAAAATGACATGCACTTCCCTATCACTTTTTTACCTTTTTGATTCCTATTGCAATAACAAACTTGGCTTTTTTAGGAAAATAAAATGTGATTAATATTAATATTAGCGCACGCCCATTTTTAAACGAATGGAGGCTCACTTAAAAATATACCTTTAATTAACACATCGAGCACATTGAGAATAGTCTACGCGTTCGTAAGAACATCAACATCAAAGAGCAAATGTGGCTGATATTACAGCACTAAATTACCGTTTTTCTGAGTATAGATGGCATGAAGAGCTCTTGGTATGGACAATTTGACAAGCCCTTTGCAAAAGATAAACAAGTATATCTTTGGCCTTCTGTTGCAGAAAATTGTTGACATGATTTTTTTTGCATTTTGCCAAACCACACAAATGCAGTTTTTAATAACGTCGATTTCCTAGGTAAGTGATGATCAAATTTGACGTTGAATTATGAGTGCAAATGAATCGTTGCAAGAGATAAAGAAATAAATCTGGCAGAAAAAAAACTCAATCTGATTCCTCGATTTTTTAAAAATTATTTTGAATAAAACTACAATCAGTTGTATTTTGTATTAAGGCTGAATAATTTTTACAGCGGATCAGAACAGAATTCACTGTTCATACAAGTACACCTGAGTGGATAGAAACTGTTATTAAAGTTTTCGTTTCAAGTTTATTTCATTTCGTGAGTTTATTACAGAAGGCTTTCTAAATTGAAGCTGAAAACTTTTATTATATTTTCGCACTTGTCTCATACTAACGACATTCTTCTAAGACTCCTAACCGGCACATAATATAATGTTCGTTAAAATAGTTTCTCCCTGCTCAATTATTGATAATATAAATCAAAGATATTTTTTCTTGTGTGTGGGTCAGTAGATGATGCCATTATAATAAAAAGTTGTCGATAATTGCGGCCTGTCAAGTATCTGAGCAAATTCAAGCGTTTGTCTTTAAAAATAACTTTTCCTTTTTTTCTGACAGGCATGATTTCGTTAACACGCTTTTTTCTTTTCTTTTTTTTGCTGATTTTAGTTGTTATTCGTCCGTACGAAGTGTAGAATATTAACTCCATGTAAGAGGGTCGGCATATCAGGATGTCAGAGTCATGTTTTTAAATTGAAAAAATACGTCCTCGTCGCATTCTTTTTAATCAAAGATGCATGTAAATTAAAAGTAAAATAATGTCATTCATCAGTTCCTACCTCACACACGCAACGAAAATGGAAACGCAAGGAGGTACACGTGTGACTTTACTTGACACAAATGGGTGACGCAAGGACAAGCGCCGACGCAAGAAATGGAGACATTTTCATTTTCTTTCGCGCGCTTGCATTTACTCATTTGTTTGCGCTTCACACGTGTGAACTGGGACAACGCAAATGCGCGCAAATGAAAACGCGAGGTAAAAACTGTATGAACGTGTGAAAGTCCTTTGCGTTTGCACCTGCGTCGCAGGTGTGAACCAGGCCATGATATAAGTTTTGAGAATCCACCTTATGCAGTCAAAAATGGTGACGATGAAATCATGTATGATGGAACTACAGCTGTACGCGTATCTCAATGAAGACGTTTTTCTACTTACGTCAGAGTTAAGTAGCGAAACTCTTGCAAGGAACCTTGAATACGAGCCGCGCAAAGCGCTTCTTTGTCGGAAGCCGTTCATCACTACTTACTTTCAAAAGGTTTCGGCACTGACTCCTTATAACAGAGCATCACATAAGACCCTGCAGGCTACCGGCTAACGAGAGATGTTGGACGTAACAGCGTTTAAGATCTTGGAGAAGAGGTTTCACTTTCCAGTCTTTAACGGAACAGAGGGAATTGAGTGTATATCTTCGGGTAGAATGTCCACAGCCGAGCGCGCAGTCTGGATACAAGTTAGTTTAAATAATTTCCCGGGTCTACTGAATTTCCGTTTTTTGGGGGGTTTATTTGTTTATTTAAAAATACGTCGCGAACATATATGGTGCGTCCCCTTGTGCATACCATTTTTTGATCCGGTATTGTCCCGTTGCATAATCTTTTTACCAAAACTCGGTAAATTTCCTCTTTTTTGGGTGAAAATCTCCAGCACATGGAAAAAAATTATTGGCAATATTTTGATTTGCAATGTTTAAGAATCAATCTCATTTTAAGAGTGAATTGCACCGATAGCATGTTTGATAAGGGAAAACATGCTGAAAAAGGCTTATCGCGCTTATTTGAGGTTGTGTTGATATATACTTTGTCTTGCTTTTGGCCATCTATACCCGATAAGGACTGGTTAAAACATAATTGTTCGACGCCATGTTGACCCAAAACGTTTTTGTCCCAGTCGTTACATTTTTTTTTGCTGTTATTGTTTAATTCGTTAGTCATTTTTTTTTTACTTTTAACAGTTTTGGAAACAATAATAATAACGATAATAATAATAATCATCATCATCATCATCATTTTCACCATCTTCATCAACATCATCAATGGAAAAAGAATGTTCCCATCACTGATGCCAGTCGCGTGCGAACTTTCTCATAAGACCGCAGAAAACGCATGATTTTAATCAAATCTTGAAGTTATGGAAACAACTAACATCACGACAACCTCCGCTTGCATTTCAGTGACATTAATATATTAGCCCACAGGTAACCCAAGCTCAGTATGAGAGTTAAATCATTAATACGTGTGATCTTTTTTTTGCATAAAGTATTTGTATGGGAAATCAAGTAAAAGATTCAACAAGATAAATACTCGCTAGAATTTTCACTAAAATACACCTTACATTAATTATTTACGTTGCTTGTTTTTGCTTGCTATGTTTGCGATCAATTAAGCGATTTCCCTGTGGCAGCAAATCGCTTTTTTAAGGCGATTTTTAAGCGATTAAAAAACCCCAATGGATCGGGAAAACAACCACACAACAAGTACCCCCCCTGGGAGTAAGCAAAAACAAGCAAAGTAAATAAGACTTAAAATTGAAGGCAAGGCTGATCGGACAGCTAAGGGTTGATAATTTACAAATTTATTTGCCCAATTTTAGGTTTCTAGCCCCTGATGAAGACTAATTTTGTCTCGTCGAAATATTGGGCAAATAAATTTTTAAATTATCAACCCTTAGCTGTCTGATCAGCCTTGCCTTCAACTTTTAGTCTTATCTCCTTTTGTATTGCTGATCCTGATCTTCAATAAGATCAGGCTTTTCCTCGCTGCTGTTTGTCCAATTGTTTCTTAAAGAATTGTTCGCAAAGTAAATAAGGTAAGGTGTATTTTATTGAAAATTCAAGCAAGTGTTAATCTTCTTAAATCTTTTACCTGAATTCCCATACAAATCCTTTATGTTCTCGGTCATTGTAAGAATATCGCAAAGTGAGACCACACGTCTCTCATACTGAGCTTGGGCCTACGCAGTTCCTGATATCTTCGGACAGTGCCAATCAAACTCCTACGATATAAATAAAAAGTATTTCTACTGACCAAATCAAATGACATATGTGACTTAATAAAGAGTGCATCTCTGTGAAAAGTCAATTATAATGTGGCTTTACAAAACGCTGGAAGATATAAAGAAAAAGGCATTTTCAAGGAACGCCGTAGTCAACTGAGAATATCGACCTCACGCAAAAATTATGAGATTCATCAGCTTTATCAGCTGCCAATATTTTACGTTGGTGGATAAATCTTGACGGATCAAGCTACTTTGCGTGCCGATTCAGAAATACTTTTATTCATTGAAGTGTGAAACATATACAGTCATGAAATAATTAACTAGATGAGGGAATCGATCAACTTTCATGCCACAATCAAAGTGTTATGGGAAAGCCAAGAAGATTCTTAAAATAAATTGGCTACACATCTTTGAGGCAGACAGTTTCTGACAGTTTATGTATAGATAAAAGTATAAGAGCTGATCGCCACTGGCGTTATGACGTTAACATATATTCGACTTACTACGTGGTCAATCAGGGTTAAAATGACTATAAGCAGGAGCCCATCCTACTATAAGTTGCTTTAAGAGCACGTGCCAAATGGAGAAATGTACATAAGAACTTTAGAAGCCGGTTGTTATACTGGGTAATATTTCAATAACCTGAATAAATAACTTACTTGACGTTCTGCTCCATCTCATTAATCCAAATGTTCACAATGATAACTGGAGTGAAACCTGCCTTTTTATATAATGCATGTTGTTAATGGCACAGCAATTTATATATTGAATTGATTACAAAGTAACGCAATACAGATTTCCCTTAAATGAATTGACGGAGGGGGGAGGGGGAGCACTTACCGTACACCCACCCAACGAAAGCTTGATCACAGGCTAAACTTGGTAAACGCCTGTTATGCAGGCTATTTTTTTTTTCTTGAAGCCCCCAATTTCTAAAATTACAAGGGATAGGTAAGGATCAGCTTCGAGGCCTGGTCAACCCTTCTGACGTCAGTGTCACGCAAGTCAACTCCAGATTGTCGTCACGATAGCAGCGTTGCGTGACGACTACAACGACTGCGCAGGAGAATTCAGGTACAGGTTCATGTAGAAGATGCATAAACATTTACACACGGAAAAGTATAGGAATAGTTCCCTATCACCAGACCCATCTCTTAGTTCCTATGTTTTTCTCGAGGCGTCCTGAGCTACTGAGGTTAAAAAGGGTTGAATATTGTTAGAAGCGCCAATGGACAATGAAATGAGGTGAGTTTATGCATGACCTTAAAATAGAATCAAGATATTAACATGAAGAGATAATACACGTACATAATAATTGTCTCAGTTGCTGAGACCAACCGAGCGGTGAAAGTACGCGAGTTCATTCACCAAACGACCCTGTTAGCTGCCAATCGTTCCTCCATGTTTGATTCTTAGAACCAGTTGAAAGGTGACAAACCTTGATCTCCGTATCTTATAATTATTGGAAATATTAAAACAACCGATATTTGCATTCTTTCCTGACTGTGTTTGTTATAGGCCCCCCCCTTTTTTTGCAGTCTAAAATACTAGTTCTATTCCCATCGAAGGTTATTTTTATCAATGTAAACCACAAAGGCCACCCTAACCTGTGAATAGCTCTGCGGAGAGTACAGGGGTGAGGTTAGTCCAACTCATAGTTCAAAGTACACCACAAAGCTTGCACAATTGTTGTCTCAATGCTGAGTTCTCTAGCCAGCATTAGCGACAGTTTGCCACTTGTTCAATATTCTTCTCTTGATCTGACACCCTCAGCACCTGATGACTAACGAAAGATTTTGACGATTCTAGTGTTTCATCTTTTTTCTGTGGCCATTCTTTCAGGGCCAATAGTTTGTTTGTGGGAAATTTATCTTTCACAGGCTTTTTCTATGTTTGTTTACATTCCACATTAATTTTGGCTCCATGATGCTGATTGGCCAAAATTTGATAGCTCAGTCGTCAGGGAGCCACATGGGGCACTGGAGGCAGAATTTACATCCTTGAGACTTGACTGCAAAAGTGTTCTCCAGAGAGCTTGCTCGCAAGCTAAGGCTACCCTGTAATCTACATGTAGTCCCCAGATCTCACTGAGGCTATCCTGTAATCTAGTGCCCAGATCTCACTGTTATACCCCAGTAAACAGAGCACGGAACTGATCTACTTGGCATTTGATCTTGGATCAGTTTCACCACTTGCCCCTCCTGGGACCGAGGTTCAAAATAAATAAAAAAAAACTATGGCTAAGCTAATTATTAAGTGAAAGTATCTAGAGACGAGAGAGGCAAGCTTAGTCTCCCTTATAGCCATTTTTGTCGTGTCACGCAATGCTCATTCCTCCTCCTCCTTTTTGTGGAGGAGCATTGTGTGACAACATAAAAGAAAAACTGTTACACAGGAGACTAGGGCAAGCTCAATCAATCAATCAATCAATCAATCAATCAATCAATCAATCAATCAATCAATCAATCAATCAACAAAAGTGGATTTCCAGGTTGAGCATAGGCAAACATTCACTACAAACAAATAGAATTCAGTATGACGGTGTTTTCACAAAAGTTACAAAATTCAGAGAAAAATTTATTGCGTAAAAACCTAAAGAATATAGCTAGTTTTACAATATTATTATGTTGGTGGGAGTTTTGAAGAGTAATTAGTATAAATTTAAAATATACACACATAAAAATTAATGAATCAGAGCGATTCAGCAGAAGGCAAAGAGGGCAAGTTTGCTTTTAAAAGCAATTGTGCTGTTTTTGTCTCATAAGAAAGATTATTCCGGAGCATTGCACCCCTATCCTTAAAACTACATAAGGGGAAATTAGTCTATTGTCCTTGGAAGAGTAGATTAGTTTCAAGATTCCTAAGATTATAGTTGATGTTAGTATAATTATTGAGTTTTAAAATGAAGGCTCTCAAATGTGGGGCAGATTGATCATTGAGGATTTTGTACATTAAGGGTAAGCCTTTATAATTATGTGAATGCCTGGTTTCAAGGTTGCATAACTGATCTAATGTCATATGAACACCAGTAATGACCATACTTGCACAGTTTTGGATTTTTTGCAATTTATCTTTCAGTTGCTTTCCACAAGTATCCCATAAGGGGGAACAGTAATCAAAGTAAGGTTACCCTTACCAAAACCACATATATGTTACATATAGTGCCTACATATATATGTGACATATATGTGACATATATGTGAAATATATAACACATATATGTGACATATATGTGTCATATATAACACATGTATGTTACATATATGTCAAATGTAGGTATTTGGAACCCATTTGCAGTTACTTACATATATGTCACACATATGTAGATATATGTGACATATATGTAGTTAATAGCATTGCATATACAGGGCAAATATATGTCACATATATGTGGCATATATTTGAAAAAAAAATTGATTAGGTACATACCAGCTAAGCGCCTGCTGTACTTTGAAGTTAATTGTTATAGATATACATGTAGTACTTATATATATCTGCTGATATCTTACATCTTCAATAAATATATTACACCTTTTTTTTTTTTTCATTGAAATAATTGTATTCTGGTCATAAATTCTTCATATACACTAGCTGTCTTAAAACTGAAAACTTATATAATTCTTACAGACTAGTTACCATTATCACACGACAGACCATTTCAGACAGTCCAACTTCAGTGTGATGCACATCAATCAAAGGAAGCTGTTGACACTGTTTTTCAAATTCAGATTGCATTTCGAACAATTTGGCCAAAAAAAGAAGCAGTAAAAATTAACAAATAAGCAGATTGAAGATTTCAATCAACATGATAAAAATTGTCATTGTATTACAACTTATTTAGACTGCCATTCACATGTTTGTTACCAATTCCAACAACAATCTGATTATCGATAATAAGAGGATTCAACACACACGCATGTACATGCATACATATATATAAGAAAATAATATGTGTTCTTGTATCTTCTAAAAAAATCATTTTGTCTTTGATATCCCCCTCCTGCTTGCAGTGCACTTGTCTTGGATTGTTTTTCTCACTTTGGAGATGACATTCCCATCCTTGAACTGGGATTGAACAAATGCTGTAGATTGAGAAGGATTTAAAGCAATCACACAACTGCCAAAGCTTAATATTAAATGCTATATATAGTAGATGTGTTACACATGTTTATAACCTGCATGAACACATGATTAGGACCCCCCTTGTTTTCACCAGAACCGAAATTAAACTAACCAAAGAAAGCATGTCTTGTATAATAATTATTAGGATTATATGTAATATTCTCATTGATTCAGTAAAATCAAAACAATAACTGATGCCATGAAAATTAAAGCTCATAATGTCATAGCGGTACAGGAGTTTACATCAAAGAGTAGCATATCATTTCCATAATGAACTGAGAGGGGTTGTTTTACTTTAGGGAAGGAGGGAGGAGAATCAATATTCATTTCTTCTTCAACAAATACAGTTTGCTACTATATAAAAGAGCTTAATTAATAGATGATTTATACACTGAATGCAAATATGGCCGTCAGGCCTTTTTTTTGTTTAGCCAAGTTTTCATAGAAATTATAATGATTTCACGTGAACAAGTGCCTCTAAGTATATCATCTTAAAAAATTTGAGCTGCAAAGTTATGGCTGACTGAAATTATAAACATTTGTGTGGGAAAAGATAGTCTATATCCTCACTAGCCTCGCTTTCATGTTTTTTTCCCAAAATGTGAGTGCCAATACCTTCTTCTTAAATAAGAACATGGCCCTGAAAATACGCACAATGACTTATTTTGACCTGATCTTTATCATTATCCAATTGCTTTTCTTTTCTTGAAAACCTGCCCAGACCAAAAATTCTTGGATGGCCATATTTGCATTTGGTGTATGGTATACATGCAGTCAACTCTCTCAAAGCAGACACCAAATGTAAGGCAAACATATCTCTAAGACAGACGTGGTTGGCTAGTAAGGTGGACAGCTAGAGCTAGTCCAATGGGTGTCCACCTTAAAGAGATTTCATTGTGCAATAATAAAAGCTGGTTTTTTTCCCATGAATCAAGCATAATACATGCACGAAAAACAAGTAGGACAAGTAATGCAATCAAAGAGCATACATGTACCTGTGATGGCTTTAATGATTTGAGGGCACAGCTGTCTGTAGCCCAAGTTGCCCCCTCCTGCCAAGTTTGAAATCATTAAAGTTTTTTTGTCAAACATGACGTCAATCAAGTATGCTGTCATAGTGCCCACTGATTTTCCTTCTGCCAATGCATTCAGTCGTTGGGTCGGGTACCAGAAAACCCCACTCCCTATGGCCATTTCTTCCATCTAAGTAAAAGAGATACAATAAATGAGTGAAATGTACAGTGAAATGTTCACATCTGTACCTTGAATTCTTCTTCAAGTTTAATAACAAAACCCCAACTTTGGATGAAGAACAGAAAAATTTAACGCACCTATTTAAAGTCTCCCTCACAGAGAATTACATTTCTTCTGGATGACCTATCAGGGCTGGATTCATGAAGCCCACCTAAACTAAGACATATCCTAAGCATTGTTTATTAACAATAGTCTATTGTGGTTACGACAATAGACTATTGTTAATAAACAATGTTTAGGATTTGTCTTAGTTTAGAGGGCTTCATGAATCCGGCCCCAGAATGTTAAACTTATTACCAATAACATTGTGACTTCATATCAAGCAGATGCACCCTTAGTATTTAGGGAACACTAGGTTTGTAGGTTGTACATGTAGGGTGCTTGAAATAAACAACAAATACATCTGGTAAAACAGCTGCCCTCAAATATACAATTGAACATTAAACTAGGAGTGCTTGTTATTTAAAGCATGCATGTACAGGCATGTGTACCTTGTGTTTTGATGCAATTACTGGAGAAATGACTCCAGCAAGTGGTTTGTTAGTGTCTTCACTATACTGATCTGAAAGAAATTAAACAAAACAGTCCTATAAGAATAGGTACCTGTACCAATGAATCAAAAACATACATACATTACACAACCCTCCATCATTTTCAATGACTGACAATCAAGTAAAAAAATAGTGAATAATAATTAAATTTTAAGTGTGCCAATTAACTGTTATTTTTGTAGGATAAAAATGTTTCTAGTGGCAGTTATATACAAAACATGATAACAATAAACAGTAATTCTAACCATTCAATTTCTGCTCTAATTCCAAAACTTTCTGCTTCAGTGAGGCATTTTCTTGTCTCAAGAGACGGCATTCCTCTCGTCCACACTTGGAGAGGGCAGGCTGAGATCCTAAAAGAAACATATATTTGTAATTATAAGTACAAGTTTTATGTTTATATTCAGTGAAGGTAAACTTGATCTACACCTGCATACATGTGTGTTCATTCATTATATTCATAACAGCTACAGTCAAACCTGTATAAAGAAAAACACTCTCAGGACCCTCACCAAGTCTATATGCCTATATGATGTTTGTTCTTTTGACACAACTCCAAGACCACATTGCATATCAGGTAGAGCAAGTGCAAAATGAATAAAACCATGACATATAACACAGACAATTAATGGACAGATTGCTAGATACCATGCATACTCACTTTGCTCTTGATCAGTTTCATAAAAAAAGCTTCCTTGATCCCTTCTCTTTCCTTGATATTGGTACAACTTTAGAAGCACCTTGCAAAACAAAATACATGTATGCATGCATCTGAATAAAATTTACTTCATCATTGGGATCATTAACTTGAGTGTAGAGTACCTTAAGTGTAACTTGAATAAAATTTACTTCATCATGGTAATCTCTAGCTGTTGTTCTACTTCCTTTTAAATTATTGTTACAACTCCAAGACCACTTTGAATATCAAGTAGAATATATGCATGCAAAACAAATAAAATCATGAAACAACAATGGACAGACACTATAGATACTATACTCACTTTGTCCTTGAGCTCCATCTGTCAGATTCCTTGATCCCTTCTCCTTCCTTGATATTGGTACAACTTTAGAAGCACCTTGCAAAACAAAATACATGTATGCATGCATCTGAATAAAATTTACTTCATCATTGGGATCATTAACTTGAGTGTAGAGTCACCTTAAGTGTAACTTGAATAAAATTTACTTCATCATGGTAATCTCTAGCTGTTAATTGTTCTACTTCCTTTTAAATTATTGTTGCAACTCCAAGACCACTTTGAATATCAAGTAGAATATGCATGTAAAACAAATAACATCATGAAACAACAATGGACAGACACTATATAGATACTATACTCACTTTGTCCTTGAGCTCCATCTGTCAGATTCCTTGATCCCTTCTCTTTCCTTGATATTGGTGCAACTTTTAGCATCACCTTTCAAAATATACATGTATGCATGCATCTGAATAAAATTTCATCATTGGGATAAAAGTGTAGAGTACCTTAAGTGTAACTTGGAAGGACCTTACAAGTGATAACTGCATGTACTAATCATTTTCACTTTTCTTGGTTGCTTTGAGTTATAATTAAGAAATAGCTAATTAGATCACATTAAAGCACATTATATGTTAAAAGAACACAAGAAGGGCTTGTCAATGATGAGTGCTTTGTTTGGTGAAGGTTGAGATTTTGGTGGCATATTTTCCTTAAACCATTCTGGTTCCTAATTCTCAGTAATATGGATAGTTTTGGATTTGCATGCAAATTTGGAACAGAAATCAGAAAAAAAAAAACATAAGGTTCATCTGTTCAGGTCAAGTAGTAGGAATGCTAACTACAGGTTTTTCAACAGCCCAAAACTTAGACATACCCTTCTGAAAAAGTTCCTTTAGCGGTGAGCGGTATGGCACAGTAACTTCCATTCCTACAAAATCATCATCAGCATGCATCTCTTCATCACCTGGGAAGTACTCATCCTCACTGCTGTTTAACGGCTCACTCTCAGAATCAACCATTATTAAGCTTCCAGAATATCCAAGGGATGAGCTATGTGACTGCTGGCTTGGAGATACTTTGGCCTGTTGAAGACTACATGCACGCTCGCTTTCAGAGTCACTCAGCTCTTCGGAACATTCATGGGAAGAGCTACTTATTTGGTTTTTAATTTGGAATGTCTTTGCCTGCTGAAGCCTCTGCTTTAGCAGGGCTTCCTTTGCGGCTTTTGCCTTTGCGGCCTTTTTGGCCTTGGCCTCCATAGATAATTTCTTCCTTTTTTTTTCTTCACATTCGTCTTCACTTTTGTTTACTTCTGGATCGGATTCCGTCTTTCCTTTTTCTGTGCTAGACCAGACATTTGTTCTCTTCCTTTTTCCTTTCCCCCCTTTGTCTACTTTGGCTTTTGTCTTAGTTGGCAATTTTTTTTTCTTTTGAGTTCTTCTCTGCTGGACATTTGTCAGATACTCTAGATCTGTAGGATAGCAGACATTTAAAAAGAAAACACTGAAGTCAGACAAATGGAAGAATATCATAGTTATGTCAGATGAATTCTTGGGAGGCTTGAAAAGATTGAGTGTCTTGTGTGGCAAACAGAAACAAGGGAAATGCCAATCATTGCAGGAATTGATTATGCAAATGTCTAGAAATAATATGTCAAATTACATTAATTCAGTGCAACTAAAAATTGACATTCCACTACATGGAAGCTCACTAAAAGAAATACTTGACCTGTTTTGACTGTCATGCAACAACTTTTTGCAAATTATACCCATCAGTGTTATGTATACTTTTCCAGCTTATAACACCAAATTAAAGGCAAATGAAATCAATGCCATGTTGTTATAATAATTATAATACAAATACAATGTACAGTGAACTATAAAATCCTACTTAGGAAGGCCCTTTGCTCCTTCCTCTCACCCTGGGATTTATCAGTTTGTGTTAATGCATGGCCAGGCCTTTATTTTGTGATGATTTAATTAGTCTTACCTCCAATGTCCACAACAAATGCAGGATACCAGTCCTTGTGATGGGCATCCGTCCACAGTGCATCACAAGATGCTCCTTTTTCAATTTTTTCACAGTTTCTAATCTCATCAGCACTGACTATATTTTTGATGTTGTCATCCTTGAAGACAACAAGGTAGTGGTCTACGATAAAGAACAAAATATAATAAGACACATCAACGATATTATAATCAATTAATGGCACCAGACAAACCAGTTTGTATGCTGCACACTAAATAATAAGAATGCAATCTTGAAGTTAACATATTGAAATTTCGCAAAGAATCTTGAAGTTGCTCTCAGCTTATATAGTGCATGGTCAAGAGCTTTGATCCTGAGCCAAATATCAAAGTTGATCGAAAAGAAACTGATCGTTGTTGTTTAAGAATAAACCAGTTACTAATCTATCCAGATCTATCAAAGATGGAATGTATAGCTAAAGAATGAATCATGCATTATTTATTACCTTGACAATGATAAATGAAAAATCGAGGGGTGATCCGAATTTCAAAAGTGCCATCTATACAATTAATCTATCAATCAATAACCAGGCTATGACCAGACTGTAAGCAGTCCCTCTTTTCTTTGCCGTCGATTATTAATTGAGCAAGTCGAAGATATCAACATCAGATAGAAACGAGAAAGAAGCGATTTTGACAGATTTGGCGAACAGTTACATTTGTAAATGAACGCGGCAATATTGAAATGAGTGGAACGAAAGCCTAATTAATGATGATCTTCGGAACGAATTAATCCTTGCACAATATCCGAAACAACTGATATCCTGGAAAATTCTTAGAAATTATTGAGCATGAATGAAAAGTTCGAAATATATATGAGATATGAGGTGAACATATAACGATAAAATTATGCATCGTCTTATTCAACCTCTGAAGAGGTTGAAAGGACTGAGCTGTACGTTGCACGTGTTCTGTCCCCAGCATATATGCGACATTCTTCCCAGCATTTAAAACTACAAAATTGATTGCCAAGCTCCATCGTATAATGCAAAAGCCTAAATTTATTTTATTCAAGCAAAAGATTGCAGTGTATATTTACTAGAAAGAGTTTATATAGGTCGTAGAAGCGTGTTTTTTAAACCGCGTTCATTGAACCGCGAAACGCACGCCTGTAATTTAATTAATTCCTATATAAGCATGGGCCGAGCTCTCAAAATCATTGTTTTAGAACAATAATCTTAATTTAGGCACTTACAAGAATTACATTTGGAAGTAAAATGACTTACCAAGATGATCAGTGAAGCGAGAAGGTGCTTTTGTTTTCCTCATAATTGCAGAAATCTACAAGCTGACAAAACCGAACTCGATCCTCTTCAAAACGAACAACGAAAGGAACAACGAAATGAACAAATGAGCGCGAAAACGGCCTCTGTGAAGTTTTCGCGCTCATTTTGTGTAGTCACGTGTTAGGTGTAAGCCAATCAGCAGGGGATTTTGATATGTATTAGATGCCAGTCCACTCTACCTGCAGTCTTTCCTGAGTTGACCATGGAGTCGACGAAACGAAAGAAGAGAGGTCGATACAACTCGCATCGAAGAAACCCTGCTATACCTAAGCCGAAAGCCACTGTTTCCCGACATAACAGGCGAAAAGCAAACTTCTCATCGGATGAAGATGAACAAAGAAAAAAACCGTGTTTCAAGCGAACTGTTGATGTTGTTTTCGAAAATAGTCAAGCATCATCGGACGAATCGGATTTAAACATTACAAATATGTACTTGGCTTCATGTTCTAGTTATCAAGATCTAGACCACGAATTGTCAGACGTTTTGTCGGAATCAACGCATGATGACGACAGTGTAGAAAAACTGGATGCGATTTGGAGTGATATCTCAGAAGACGATCGAAGCTCCACATCTTCAGATGACGACCAATTCTGTGCACGTGGAGACAGTTATAATCACATCAGGAGTAAATCGACTGATGAAGAAGACCCTGTATATGTATACCCTGGGTCGCCTCTTTTGTTGTCGGAAAGCATTCTTTTGATTCTTACTTTGGCTGTAGCTCACAATCTGAATGGAAGTTGTCTTTCAGACGTAATTTCTTTGATCAATTTGCACTGCATTCCTGGTCCACTCAACAAGTGTGTCAACTCACTCAGTGAGCTCAAGAGGTACTTTGCTGACTTCGAGCTTCCCATAACAAAACACTTTTACTGCAGTTTTTGCTCTGAGTATCTTGGTGTTTTAAGTGATACTCCTGATGTGTGCTCCATTTGCAACAATGATGTGAGAGATCCAAAGAAGAAGTCATATTTTGTCATCCTTTCTGTCGAAAGTCAGCTAAACGAGCTTATGCAAAGTAAGTAAGAAAATATAATTTTATATGTTGCAGTTTAAAATGATCTTATGTTAAAATGATTTCAAACTAGTTTGATTTGTACTTTTCTTTGTCTTAGGATTATGGTAATCAATCTGGAACAAAAGAAAATCAAAACTAACCAAGTTTGAAATCATTTTGACCTAAGATTCATTTCAAACTACAACATATACAACAGTGATTGATGTTAAAATGGAATAAATATAAATACTGGCTTAACTACAGCATCATATATTTAGCCACTTTCGATGCTTCCTGGGATAATAGCTAGATATATATATCGCTTAAAATATGCAGTCACCCCTATTGAAGTATAATATTTCCAAATATTTGGTCCTATAATGGGCCAGTAAGATCCATGTGACAAAAAGTTTCAAAGTCTCTGAAAGTTAAGCCTAAAATGATGATTTAGTTTTTAAATGTATATGTAAAAAAAAATATTATTGAGTCGGTTTTCACATGATAGCAAAATTATCAAGGTCTCGATTTGTGTTACCCACCTTGGCTGTGGAAATTCTTACTATCTTACTCACCATATGTATTTGAATAAGTGCCCTGTGCGCTTCTTTAATGTTAGGTCCTTTAAGGTCGATGTTTATTCAAGGTGGGCACTTATTCTGATAAATGCAGAAACCTCATCCTGTGGCAATTGAGCTACATCAAATTAATAGCTATAATCTGCTGGTGGTGTCGACTGACACTCAAATCACAGTATTTTGTGATAAAAGAGTGCAGTGATGTTTTATCATTCAACCAGTAAGCTTGATTTTCTTTGTTGTATTTTTTTGTCATCTGATATTAGGAAGAGAATTTCAGGAAGATATAAAGTACCGCTTTCTGCGAGAGAAGACATCCCCTCACAACATTGAGGATGTATATGATGGCCATCTCTACAAGAAGCTGTTTGAAAATAATGGCCCACTTTCTCAGCCAGAGAACTTATCCTTAAAGTTCAATACAGATGGTGTTTCTATCTTCAAATCATCAGGTTCAAGTATTTGGCCAGTGTACTTTGAGATCAATGAGTTGCCACCAAGTAAAAGGTAAAAATTAGAGTAAATTATTATTGGTGAATTGTAAGTGCATCTTATTAAACTTTTGGAATTATCATTGTATTCTCTATTCACAATACTATTTCCGAAAACATTGCAAAAAATTAGTTGCCTTGTTGATGACTGGAATGACACATACTGTACATATACTTAGTTGAACTGAATTACATTGGTTATTTAACAACATTTTTCACTACTATTTTCTGTGATTGTGCCAAACCATTATTTTCATCAAAGGATATTATTATAGAGTTCCGTATCAGACCCTTTTTAATTTAAAAACTAACTTTCATTACTCTTACCCTATTGTTCCTTTTTCTAGGCTGGAAAAAAAGCTCTGACTCTGATAAATGTAAATTCGTAAGTGCATTTTAATGTTTTCATGTTTTAATTAATAGGAAACGATTGGAGAACATGCTTTTGGGTGGCCTCTGGTTCAGTGACAAAAAACCTGTGATGTCTACCTTTTTGAAACCTTTCAGAACTTCATTAGAAGACCTTGAAACAAAAGGTACCTGGATACATGGTGTCTCTGAGACAGCTTTATGTTCATGTCTATGTTGTGGCTAACTAAATTTTTTTATGGTTTAAAGTTTGTTTGGCCAGGTTGATTTTTATTTTCCCTGTTTTAAAATGTAGTTATAAATATAAGACAAAGGAAAGTATAGTTTTGAAACTAAAAACAAGTTTCAGCCACAACATATATACACTGTACATGTACTTATATTTAGAGTGTATATAAAATTTTGTATAAAGTTTTCAAGCAAACTGTACTAGGAATAAATGTACGTGATTTCTCCTGGCCAACTTGTATGGTAGTGTATTATACTGAATAGATGCATAATTAAGTTTGACATTAGGAGAATGTATCCTAATCTTGTGCATCCTGTGCTGCCAAGCGGTGATCATTTTCATTGTTTGCATGATTTGTGTACGTTTTTGGTGCCAAGTTGGTGACTACAGAAAACAGTGGTTTAGAATTTACGGTGACTCTTAACAATTGTATTCCCACAAAATATCCTATCAAATCCACTTTTGATTACTACTAGAGTTTTTATATTATTGGAAACATTGAGCCCTGGCCAGTTGAGCTGAGTTCATTGTCCTGTGTATGTAATATGTGTAGTAGATGTGGACCCACTGTCCCAACAACATGATTATACATTATTTTGTTATTGTACAAATAATTTAAAATATACTTTGTTTATATACACTTTTAGGACTTGTTATGGAGATTCCAGATAAGGGAAATTTTACCAGTCATGTGTTCCTTCTTGGCTCAGTTCTTGATCTTCCTGCAAGGTGTTCCTTTTTAGAGATGGTTCAGTACAATGGCTTTTGCAGCTGCTGTTACTGCATGGTTTTGGGAATGTCTTGCAAATCAAGTGTGAAAGAAGGACACAGGGGAAGAGTTACAGTTTTTCCTTTCAATTTTGAATCAAACAATGGACTTGCTAAAGAACGCACAAAAGAAAGTATGGTTGCAGATGGCTTGCAGTTTCTGCAGGGTACATCAGGAGGAAAACCTGTAAGTTAGTGTACTGTCATTAAATGTCATGAAATGATTTAGTCTACTTCATATATACCTTTATCCTGGGTGTTAGTGTTTGTTTTTTTGTTGTTTTTTTTTCGCACATTGAAGACCCTACATTCACAGAGTGTCGAAGTTGTATTATACTATTGTCATTTTCTAATGGGGTTTCTGAATCATCACAAGAATTTTCAATACCTCAAGGAGCCTTATAAGCATTAATTTTTGTAATTTCACTTAGATTTAGAAACCTACATAGAAAACTATGACTAATACATATGAAACATTTAACACAAAAATAAAATACGAAATGTACTGTTCTAGTCGACCTTACACTACAGTGTACAGTAGACCTTAGTTTAATTGACATCTACATGTACATCTATAAAGTGCACTTTCATAATTATTTGTTTTCTTACATTTTCTTAGGTAAATGGGATGAAAGGTGTTTGCCAGTTTGCAAGCCTTAAACACTATGATATCAGTAAAGGTGTTTGCCTGGATTACATGCATGGGGTCCTGCTGGGAGTTACACGACAATTGATGGCCCTGTGGTTTGATTCAAAACACAAGGACCAACCTTGGTACTGTGGTGATCGTGTCAGTATTATTGATGAGCGTCTTTGTAGTATCCATCCACCCATGAATATCACAAGAACACCCAGACCTATTGAAACTCATCGCAAGTATTTTAAAGGTATAATATCCATTAAGTCTACATATGTGATAGATGAGCATACAGTCGTGTACTGTTTAAAGTAGGCATGTTTTCTTGTAATACATATACCCTATGGTTCTTTTTTTTTCACAGCAACCGAATACCGAAATTGGCTGTTTTACTACAGCGTTCCTTGCCTGGTTGGTGTTCTTCCCGATGTTTATCTTCACCACTTCATGCTTCTTGCATTTAGTGTGTGGCTGGTGAATCAGCAGACTATTTCACCAGAAGAAGTCAATCAGAGTGGAAACCTTCTGGCAAAATTTGTGATGCTGATGGATGCCCTCTATTGTGAGTATTTAACTGCTTCATTTGGGCCTCCATGCATTAACTTTTGTTGAGATCAATGTATTTGTCAATTAATAATTAATTATTTTGACACCATGGTGGCTTTTACAGCTAGTGAAATGGGGTGTTTGCATTTTTTTTCAGCTGAGCGTCATATGACCATCAATATCCATAATTTGCTTCACATACATGCATCAGTTCACAATCTTGGACCACTGTGGGCAAATTCAACTTTTGACTTTGAGGATGCAAATGGGGAGTTAACTGCGCTTTTCCATGGCACCCAGAACATAGATATGCAGGTGATCAAAATAGCAAGAATCAATAATACTGTGCTCATAAAATATATATTTGAAAGGTATCTAAAAGCAAGTCTAATAATTAATTTACTCATTGATCAATAAGATGTATGGAAGGATTCTTTTGATCTTTTGTAGATAGCATCCTCAGTCTCTGCAGTCAAAATTGCTCCAGACCTTGCGCGGAAATTGGACAAAGACTCTCCTAGTTACAGTTTGTACAGAAGGATGAAATTTGGAAAAGAACAGAAGTATGTATGGCAGTAGTATGTTTCAAATACTATATTGATTTAGCTTTAAAATCAATAACAGTGACGTGTTCATAGTCCATAAGACTCAAAAGTAACATGATTCTAACCCTGTTAATACCTTAGTTTAGTTCGTTCTTATTGGTCGATATACATTAAGCCATTGGTAAAAAAAAATTGATATGTTTTTTTTTATGCATTTAAGGTCAACAAAGCTTGAGGATGGAGTGCATTTACTTGGTGCTTTTACTGACTTTGAGGTCCCAGAAACTATAGAGCAGCATATCAAGGATTTCACTGGAGATTTGGCTCTGGGAAGATGCCAGAGTTTTAAGAGGGCAATCATTCGTGGTGAAGTATTTCACTCTAAATCATATGGCCGTGTTTCCAGAAGAAACAGTTACACTGTAACCTATGAAGACAGTCAGAAGAGGAGGGAATGTGGTCAAATACAGTATTTTGTGAAACATACACCCATTTGCCAACGTGCTTGTATTGCCTTATGCCAGTGCAACAAAGATCAACACTTTGCCATTGTTGTGCACATGGAACCATTAAGAGATTCTAACCTTCTGGAAAAAGCTGGAATTGAAGGAATCCAGAAGCAGCTTCAGATCATGCAGAAGCCAAGGTACACAAACATGTCAAATGTCCTATCTGTGTTTAAACCATTGGATAAATTAATTGTGCAGTTAAGTTTTTGCTTTTGGAAAATCTTTTTTTAATATCACACTTACATACCAAGCATCAGAATTTGTTTGATCCGATTTCTACCAACCATCCAGATAATGGGTCTCCTAATAGCTACGGTACAATTGGGCAGTTGGAGTATTGAAACATCAGAACACAAGATGCGTCATGTATTTACTGTTGATGACTATATAACCACTACACTGTCACAATCATCTATTAATGCAATAATATGTCAATGCAGCAACTTTGCTAACTTCACAGTGTACGTTGAAATAAGAACTTGGATCAATAGCATTATCCAAGGGTACAAATTATTGTTTAAGAAATACAAATATACCTGTATATAAATGTAGGTTTTGGTAATAAAACAAAAGAACTTAATTACTTTATGGCTAAAAGATGGACAGCGATATTGAGATCTTTTGTTTTGTTCCGCATCTTAAAAATGGCCTCATTTTGTATTTCCTACCTCATTTTCTTTTTATTTCTTTCAGAATGGAAAATGTTGATGTCATCCCAATCAGGAACATCTTACATAAATGTGTTTTTATAGATGTTAAGGATGCTGATGATTGTGTTTATGTGACCCACTTCCCGAATTTCATTGAAACAGACTGAAACAATTGGAGCTGGAAATTGTTGTGTGATACCTTTAATTAATGTAAATATATGCATATGCAAAAAAAAGTATGTACATCAATAATTTGGACTATGACTGAAAAATAACTCGATCGGTGCTCAAACTCGCTCTGTGACATATATTGTAATATTTATTAAGTCAATAAGGCCCCCCGCCCCCCACGTCCCCCCACTGACACTTGCTAGTTTTCTAGGGTTTCATTTTTTTTAATACTCCCTTCTGGTGCCATCAAGTATGTCACATGTATGTTGAGTGGTCCCAAGTGCCTTTTATGCATGCACATTAATTAATATATATATAATCATACTGCACTTCTACATGTATGTCACATATATGTTAAATTATCCTGAAAGATATTACATATATGTAACATATATGCATGGTCATTTCAAAACTTTTACATATATGTCACATATATGTCTTATCATCCTATGAGATATTACATATATGTAACATATATGTATAGGCACTTCAAAACTTCTACATATATGTCACATATATGTACAGTTATTTGACATATATATGTTACAGCTACATATACGTCACATATATGCAACATATATGTGGTTTTGGTAAGGGTATGCAAGTGAATTGAAAAAGGTTACCAGGTGCAAAGTGGGAAAAAGGTTTAATTCTTCATAGAGCTCCTATACCAGTGCAGGCCTTCTTAAATATTATATACTCAATCTGAGTCTCAAAAGTAAGCTTTTCATCTAATAATACTCCCAAACATTTATTAGAGGTTACATGCAAAACAATATTATTGTCAATGGATATAGCATTAGCTAAATCTTTACATAGATTTATCATTTAAGTTATCTGTCGACCCAATAAGCATTAACTTAGTTTTCAAAGGGTGCAATTGGAGCCTATTAACTGTCAGCCAATCATAAAGGTTTTCTAGATCAGGATTAATATTATTAGCAAGAACATTTGCGTCAGTACTAGAGGCAAAGATTTGTGTATCGTCTGCATAATTTATAAACAGGGGGTTTTGAATGTGATGTTCAGCATTCTGAGGGATATCAAATCTTAAATCCATGTGCAGAACATAAAAAGCAAACTTTGAAGGTCATTATGATTTGACCATGCTGCAAGTTTCAAACGTTAGCAATTTCAGCTAAGGGGGACCTCTTTAGCCCTGAGGGGGAGGGGGGGTTTGGGGTTACTCCTTAGGATGGCCTGTCAAAGAAGCTACATGTATGCCCAATGGGGTACTTTCAGTCAGACTTTAAAAGTGTAGGAAAATTTGTTATTTAATTACTTAAAGCTAAAATGTTTTGAACTGAGTGTAGCTTGAATCAATTTAATTCATCAAATGGTACATAAAACAACAAGAATACATTCTGTTAGTAGGTTTGTGAACGAGACAACATTTCCCAGTGAAAGGTACATAAAAGAAGCACCTTTCCATCAAAAAAGGTATACAAAAGGCTAAGGATTGAACCTTAGGACAGAGCCTGTATGAATTATTGTTGAATAGCCCCTAACCCCCAGCCTTCGTACCCATACCCCCTGAAAAGCTATTGCTCTTTCCCCGAATAAGTGTCCATAATAATTATTATTGTAAAAACTTGGTTTACAGACCCAGACCAGCAAAAGAACAGGACCAAGTAAATAAAAAACAAAAAAAAAAAAAAATGCTAACAAAGATGAAAGCTAAGCGTTAATAGGCTCACTAAAATACTGGATGGCCTGAAAGATATTGCAAGTTAGCGTGCTTCTACAGAAAGGTTCTGAAACTGTGCATTTAAAAATGTATTTAGTGAAATACAAATCTCTCAGGGAGAGGAGATGAAAGTTAATTTTTTTTTAATTATTTAAGCCAAAATACCACTCAGCCACACAGTAGTGTGGCTGAGTGGTCATTGCCTTGGACTCGCAATCCAGCAGTCCTCACTGGGGTTCAAATTCCTCTCTGACCACTTGCTGGGTTTGTTGTCAGTCATCCCGAGTTCAACATCCTCTGCCACGCTTGTGTGTAAATAGCCACTGGTTACCTCCTGCCAGTTGAGTTTTTTTAATCCTACCATTATGTTCCGTTTGGGTTATTTCTTGCTATAAATCATTTGAGTGAGGTGCCTGTAGACTAGCTGGACAGTTTAAACACTGTGTGACAACAGGAGGGCATTTTGCAGGTGCATGCGTGCATCTGCTGAACGTCAATAGCGTGGGCGCCTCAAATCTGATAGCGGGAAATCGAAAAAACTCGCGTAAAGGTACGGTTCTTTTAAAAGCCATTTGGTTGGTGCTTTGATTACCGTACTTTCCTACAAAAAATTTCTCCGTGACGAAAATGGGACGCTTTCTACGCGGGTTTTTCACTTGTAGATTTTTCAGCAGTAGGTTTTCTTGGCCCTTTAAAGACTTTCAAGACTCAACGCCAAAAAGTCATGTTCCTTTATAAGTCGGGCTTTCACTGGCAAGGCATTACATTTCTATGATTTGATTTCCAAACTCGTGGTTTTACTTATCAGGGAGGAAATGCATCGTAGCAATGTTCAGCTGCTTTAAGACTAAACGGCGAAAAAAACTTTACCACGCGAGGTTTATTTATTAGCGCGATGTCTCATGTTAAACTGATCACGGAGACACGCGTTTATATATGCCACAAAAACATGAAATCTATGGGATTTTTTACAGTTTTTCGAAAGTTTTTGCGGAAAATTTTATAAAAAATATTCTACAGGAAATGAAGAATGGATTGAGTTTGAGACAGCAACAATTACAAGTGATTATGTACTACATAATCACTTGAGCATTTCATAAGCTCAGTTGCAGACAAAACGAATGCACATACCCCGAAAAAACGAACAATACTTTTATTTTTCTTTAACTCTAAAAGATACAGAGATTTTTCCCGAGCTACTATTTTGAAGCGACTCTTGAGTAACAACTCCTGTGTTCCACAATCGATTTCTTGTTATTAATTTATATTTGATGACAGTAGTGATCCGTTCAAAACAGAGAATGGCCATCACTCCATAAATGTAACTGACGATGTTGTTCACCTTCAAATCCTGTTTAAACGTAAGACAGGAAGTTTGTTTAAAAAGGGGTGCATATAATTCTGTTCCCTCAAAAAATAAATACTACTGCTAGAGGACCCAAATGAGCTGGAATGCGACAACAAACATGACACAAATAGATGGATGAATTTATCTGTTATTAATGTTTCTGTTGGGAGCTTTTTACTGTATCCAGATGAACCCCTTATGTAAGTTGCACATCATGGAAGAATTATCAAGCAGAAACTGATGTATTGAACAAGAATGTGGTTCAATACAGAGGAGAAGCTGGTCTCATTCAACATCCTTTGTGAATGAAATGTCTCACAAATTAGCATACTGTCAACAAATGTAGTATCCACAAAATGGTATCATTTAGGAATAAACCCAATTTTTTTGCAACAGAAGCCACGATTTATTTAAAAGGTGTATTGATAACGTTTCATTTCGTTTCATTTCTTACTCGCATCATTATATTGATTTGAATTTATAGTTGAAGTGCGTGTATTTTATTTCTCAACGAAGACGTACCGGTGAAGAAGGCTAAAATTACTGCAGAAGGCGATTTTTCACAGCCTTCATCAAAGCACCATTCATTCGCGGAAGTGTTCTTAGTTTCATTAATCATTAACCTAATTTGGGGAGAAAGGCAAGATTTCGAGATAAACAAGCCAGCGAAAGGGTGAAAAAAAGTTTCACGGCAGAATGGACACTTAATTAACCTCTGTATTCCGAAACGATTAAGTTCGATTTTAGAGTTATACTATTGAGAAGAATTAAGTATCTATAGGATAACTGTTTAACGCAAAAATTATCATACTGACCTTTTTCTCCTGCTCAAAAAATGTGCGCGAAATGTTAGTTCGTAAGAACATTCAGCCGCCATCTTGTCTTCGATGTACTGTTTTACGAAAGGAAGGACTGTCCCCTCAACGGCGACAGCGAGGGTACAATAAACTCACTTTCATCGTAGAAATACTACGATACGTTGAAGAACACGTTTGTGGAACGTAACACCCAATACACGTCATTCAGCTCCAGAAAACAGCCCGCAAATGCTGGTACTGAATGTAAACAATTCACAGAAAATGCTTCTGTGGCACTTCTTATGGCACTTCAACAGCCCATATTGACGCGTGCGCATACAAAATGCCCTCCTGTTCTGTGTGACTACTCTAACCAGGGCCACTTAGACAAAGTTGACCATTCGGATTACAGGAAAGTAACAGTACATTCCAAGAAAGTTGGTTGTGGACCAATCACCCCTCTCCCCCCCCCGCCCCCCTCTCTTCCCCCTTCCACCCCGAAAAAGGAGGATAATCGTATAACGGTTCAAATAGGAGTGGTAAGGACTATAAAAACACGTTGGAAACAGAACAAAGTAACATGGAAGCATGACATGTATGTTGTACCAATTAGATGATCTGACAAATGTAAAATAAAAGCGTTTTAAAAAATGAGGTGGATTGATTCTGATAATAATGATGGTGATGGGCGAGTAATCACAATGATGAGAACAATGACCAATAAAATGGGAATGAAAACAGTACATATGCGGTTCGGTTGATGATGATGATGTTAAGATTGAGTGCGTTACTTCACAAAGTAAAGGACATTGAGTTTTTAGCACATTGAGGTAATAGCACTTGGTTATTAAGGCTTGTCAATAAAGTTACGAATGCTTAATCTTTTAAGTAGAATTTAAAAAAAAAGGAAAAAGATTTTGCAGCCCCACTTCCTGCCTTCGAAAATTTTTTACACTCCCTCCTTTTTCTTTAAAAAGAATTTTCAGATTCCCTCTCAAAATCCTCTGCCCATTCCCCCCCCCGCCCCGCTCCACCCTCGTGGTAAACACAACGAATGCAACCTAAAGACGATGTGAAGGGCTTTACTTGAGTAGGAGTGAAAGAGAGGGACGGTAGAGAAATAGCAAAATTCCATATGATAGCTCCCCTAGAATTTACGGTACCAGGATTATTTTCCTTTTATGTTTCTTTGTCGTTGAAATTCTAAGCTTCAAAATCCTATTCCAAAAAGTTTATCAGTATATAGCCTGCGAGCAGGCTGACTTGTGTGAGTTTGGGGGAATTTTGCTCACCTGCCTTGCTTCTATTGGCTAGTATCTTGACACCTCGAAAGGGGCGAAATTCAAAAATCAACAGCCCGCGGACAGTCTAGCCCGCGTGCAGGCGCTGGCGGTTCCGCCTATTTCTGGCGCCAAAATTTCCCCTTAACTGGCGCAAGTGTGTCTGCTCGCAAGCCAGTTTATATATGGAGGTGTAAGCCAGTTACTGGTTAATTTAGATATTCAGGTGCGGTTCTCTATAATAATTTACCCACATCAATAAAAGACACTACATTTTCCTTTTTTAAGAACTTTCTTAGACTTCATTTTAGCCATTAGTTTTCCTTATTATTGGATATACCTAGGTAACTTACGGTAGCGCATTTACTCGTTTTAATCTTAAAAAAATTGTGATTTTTATGAAGATTTGTATTTTCCCTTGTATTCACTTGCTAAAATCCTTGTACATGATTTTTAGGTAATTCTTTATTTTGAAATTTTAATTTCATGTAGTCTTAATTAACCCAGGGCCCCTTTTGATACCAGCCAGTGGGTGATATGGCCGATCTGCCTAAATTAAGTTGACTTAACTTGACTTGTCTTGTTTCAGAAGTCGATTAAATCACCTTAGAAAGGGTGGAATTCCAGGAACAAAAGAAGAGTTCAGACTCATGTATGAAGAATGGGCAATTGACTATGATAAGGTATGTATGCAAAACGTTTAGATACAGTAGGAACCCTGTAACTGGAACTCCCCGCTAACTGGAACTAAGTCTCATTTCCCTTGGATTTGACCCTGAGACTACGATAAATGATCGAGAGGTTTCTTAAGTATGAATTTCCAGTTAAAGTTACCGATAAGAAATTAAACAACGTTTCCTCGTAAAAATGTCTGCTTATTATAAGTCTTTAACTCTATGAAACATGTCTATGACGTTTTTTTTTTCTGAGAGCCCGCTTGATACGAACACCCAGACTCGTACTCAGTCGTTATTTATGTGTTTTTGCGGTGAAATGTGGGTTTAGGCGCGCGGAGACTCATGGGAAGGGACAAAGTGAAAAGTCTCCGCGCGCCTCAACCTAACCCCAATCTTCTCTCACCCCCAAAACACATAAATAGCAACTGGGTACTAGTCTGACGAACACCCGGATAATACAGTACATTATGGGATGTCCTCTTGGCGGTTTCGCATTAACCGGGTTCCACTGTCCTATACTTGACCAGTGACCAAAGTGACGTTTGCCTGCGTGCATTATCTTTCAGGATATTTTGTGCGATTTCGCATACAAATTATGCAAGCCCATGACTACAATGTTTGATGCAGCATTGAAAACCTGCACAAAGAAAAGAAGGCAAGATATAAAAATTAACGACGTAGCGGCTGGTATATATTTAAAAGGCCTCGAGCTTCACAAAATGGGCTACACCAATTTACACGCACTGGATAGTTGATAAAAAATGCTTAATGAAGCAAGAAAGAAGGGGATTTACACGCAGTTCTTCTGCCTTCCAATCGACGATCAGCGGATTTTAGAGACAAACACAGGAGATTATGACGCCCGTATCTGTGTCAACGGGTTTGGAACGAAATAATCACATTCTTCCTTCGGCTTTGGCAGAAATGTGTCGAATTGTTGTGAAAGGTGAGCTGCTAGTTTATAGTCATTGATATAATTAAGTAGCACTTTAGTCATGGTAAAGTTAATGGTGCCATGCTGGCGGCGGAGAGCAAGGGACGGACACCGGGCCCAAGACCAACACAGCGCTCTGGCAAATATGTACAATTATATTAATTTCGTTTGTTTGTCTTCTCTCAGTGCGTCTAGCTCTTGCTCACGAGCTTGATGGTTTTGTACCACGTGAGTGACGAGCTTCAGAGAACTACTACGTTTATGAAAAACGGCAAAACACAGAGCTGACCACGTGCTCAATTTTTCCCGCCTTTTTATTTTTCGTTTTCTGTCTTCAACGAAAAAAGTTTTTGATTTCACGGACACAGTAGGGATCGTAATGAGGCAGTCTGAAAATTGCATACTAAATAATAAACACACTGCTGAGGGACACTGGTCTGGAGAACGTTCGGGATCTTGAAATGTGTACTAGAGATCGAGCCTTATGAGGTCAGTTTTCTTCCCGTCGTCTTCTAGGCGTCGACCGGAAGTAAGTAAGTAGGGTCGTATGCTTAAATATAATGCTGTTTTACTTCTAGCCTGCCTTGTAGACGGCCCTCGCATCGTCTAAACCAGTTGTAAAGTCCGTCTGCAAATTAGGGCACCGGAGCAAGAAAAACCTCTGGTTTTCAAGCTGACTCTAAGGTCACGTTGAACACTATCACGAGCTCAATCTTTCTTGCCACGAGCTTTAAGTCGTGATTAGCCTGTCAAAACTTAATTCAGATCGGACTAATCAGAAACTGCTTATGAAACTAGCCAATCAAAACGGCAGATATATGTACTTGCGACTCTGCGGGATTCCAACGCGATATTGTTCACTAATTCGCAGACGCTCTATGCAGAAAACTTTGAGTGTCTGAGTCGCAGGCTCTTTAATACTTCACGCTGCGCATGACTGAATTCAATTCTTTCAATTAAATGTATTGTGGGTGATGATAGTAAAAGGGAGTGTAAGCTGACTGTCCGTAAACACTGTATCAGTAGGAATGATCGTGCTCGCTGGATGGCATAACGCTCTATCAAAGAATTCGTTTAGAAACTGAGGTCAGTACGGTATAGACCACACTTAAGCACAAGACGCGCTGCGCTGATTACCGACGGCCAACGTCCGTCAAGGGCAAGCAACAGTTTGCTGATGTCGGTGTAGTTGCTTAACCATTTTATTTTAATCCGCAGTTATGGCCATTTACATGGAGTCATTTCAATTTGCGAGGCTCAGTTACGTTTTCAGAACTTGCTCTTCCAATTCATGGGAGAGATTTTGAGTAAAAAATCTTTTTAGTCTGACACTTGATGTCAGTTTTATCCTGTGTCAGTCAACATTGTCCGACGTAGTGATCAACTCAGAATTCCTTAACTAGTAGAAGACACAATTAAAGAGTCATATAGGATCGGGAACCAGGAAAGACACAAAAGAAGATGAAATACACTGTAGTAGGGGGGCCAGGTTATCCGGACCTTGAGTTAAGGGGGGAGGGGAAGGATGTCTGCTCCGTAAAAAACGTTTTTATCCCTCGGGGCCTTTGGTTGATCTAAAAATAAGGGGGTGGGTCTCCCAGGCCCCGGCCCCTAGTTCCTCCACTGGATAGCGTTTTATCCCTTTCACTTGAAAAGTTGACCAAAGTCAAAATTCAACTGAATAATTTCGTTTTGTAAAATACTGAATAAAACAAATTCTTACCACGTGGAAGTATTGCCAAATGGGTTTGATTTGAATGGTCTCAGGATATTTTGTACCGACTCGAACGGTAGAACCAAAACTTGACCCTTAAGACCTCTAATCTATTTTGTATTTTACTTTCTGTTAGGGGGTCTTCTTTGCTTTGATATCAGAGAGCAGTGTATGGAGGAATGGGAAGATAAACTGAAGGAGTTGGAAGTGAAAGGAATTTGGGAAACTGTTACAAAAGAAAACTTGTCAGTGGACGACAATGATAAGACAAACGCGTTTGTGTTTAAGCTCCTGTGAAAAAATATTGACAATAGAACTTTATAATGTAAGTAAATATACATGTAACTGGATTTTATGTATTAGATACGCATTGTTATTTGCAAGGGCGTTAAATGAGGTGGTATATGATAAGGGATGTGATGGTGAAGTTTGAGCCCGGTGAATTCATCGCGTATAATTCCCAGTCCGTTGAGGTCAAGAAAAAAATTCCCGTCCGGTTGGGGGTTAGTGTTTTGTATTTTTTGCCGTGAAACTTCTAAATGAAGCATGCGTGAGATAAAAACAGCAAAGCAGTCAAAGGGTACTGGAAACAAGTTTGAAAAATAACAAAGATGGCGACCGGAGTCGCGGAGAAACGTTTTGGCTTTCCAAGGCGTTTTCTAGAAGTTTTCTTCGCGCTGTCTACCCCTCGCGAGTTCAGGTCAAATTCAAAGGGAAACAACAACAACAACAACAAGAAAAAAAACAGTTTTTATCGTATTCCTTGGTTTAAAAGACTTTGGTGGATTTAAAGATAGACAAGAGAGGGTGACCAGAAAACACTGACCGCCGGTCCATAGACCGGCCTCTACGGACCTGGTCCCTGGACTACTATGCGGCCTGGTCCACGGACGGCGAATTAGAAATTTGACTTACCGTTTGTTTGTTTTGTTTTTTGTTATAGTTACCTCCTTCACTATGGTGATGAAAGGAGGACCTGCGTACTACGAAAAAGACCGATAACTTAGCTACCTTGTGTATTCGCTGCCGGCCTCCGATTGCCTCCGCAATTTTTTTGAGCTCATTCCTCCTCGTGTTCATTGACTCGTTCCAGACTTCAAAAATACGACTCGGTATCTCCCCTTGTTTTCATGTTTTTCATGGCGCAAACACGCAAGCACACACATTTTCCTTTCCCAACAAAAAAAGATTCCTAAAAAAAATTCAACTCCAGGAGGATTCACCCATTTTTCATTTTTCTTAAATTATTCGACTCGAATTATTGTGATAAAGTGTGAAGGGACGCAAGGTAGATTTTAAATGACATTTTCTCTCAAAAGAGTTTACAGCTCTTTCGGCGAAAATGAGATGCATTGTACCTAATACGGAAAAAGAATTCTTACCTTCTTATTTTTAAGCTTGTTAGTACTTTGTCCAACTCAGTGCTGTCATGGTGATGTCCACTTAACAGTTGGCTACTTACTTCCCAAACCTTTGAACAGGAGTGAGGCTTAGGGTGACCTGGCTATACGAAGCTGTATTAGAAGCTGTAGTGTGTGAATCTGCATTTGATGTGTGGATTATTCTGTCTGCGGTATTTTCCCTCTATCAATCATAACAAAGTCGCCCTGCTGAAAGATTTGGCAACTCTAATGGACATCGCCATCTTTCTTTGTCGAAGGATCACTACTTTATGAAGCCTGGGACGAGCCAATGAACTCGCGGAGGAATGAGCCGAACAAAATGGCGGAGGCAATCGCTGGCAGCGAAAGCACAAGAAAAACACAAGGTAGCTAAGTTATCGGTCTTTTTTGAAGTACGCAGGTCCTCCTTTCATCGCCAAAGTGAAGGAGGCAACAACAGCAAAAAGCAAAACAAAACAAACGGTAAGTCAAATCTCTAATTGTCATTTTTATTGTTGTCTTTTTATGAGGGGTCCGTAGAGGGGGCTCCGTGAGGGGGGGGGGGGGGGGTCCGTGGACCGGTCCATACAGTGGTCTGTGGTCTAGGTCCGTAGGGGGGTCCATGGACCGGGAGACAGTGTTTTCGGGTCACCCGAGAAGAGATGTCACCATTTCAGGTGGTACCCTTCGCAATTTCTGAAACTTTCGTTTTAATCTTTCCGTGAAAATCTACGCACGCGAAAATCCATACAAAAATGGCTAATTTTTGATTAGTTTTTAGTGTAAAAAAAACAGTGAAATCCGATAAGCTGGCATTAATCAAAGGTAAGATCTTGAATTTGATGTTTTTTTGTATATTAATATTCCGGTGGTACCCATTGAGAATTGGTTACGAGCAACTCACAATCAGAGACAAAAAACTCTGATAGTCGCTTCAGTCTTATTATTCCGCCATATTTTAAAGACCAAATCGTGGCTTGAATGCGGCTCTAGCCTGTTAAATTCCCGGATGTAACCGAGCATTCTACCTTGCATTTTTCAGTCAGTGACAGATAGGCCTGCCAGTCACTTAATGAAAAATCATCTTTCTCGAGGTGGTATATGTTTACTTTGATATTTACAAGTTCATTTTATGGTTGAAAAAGCCAATGGACTACAAATAATCTATTTACTGTAATATATAAGTTGGAAGCTTCCGCAATTCAATAGGGATCAGTTCCCATCATTAAAATTTTTTCTAAAGGGATGTCTGTTTTATCCAGTCTGATAAAACTCCGAGGTAAATCTTAGACGCACACTAGTCCATCCTGTGATTTCTAGGTCTTCCCGCTGTCCATCGAACCAAGTTCCAAAAATTCACAATACGAACCTGTTTTCAAGCCAATACCGAGCAGAAGAATATGATATACAGGAGACCGATTAGGGGCCTTAAGCAACTAACTTTGACAAACTCGAAGGATGTAATCCAAAAAGGCCGAGAATATGCTCGCCGAAGTAGCCGGACCAGATCAACGCGCGGCCAAGAAAATGAGGCCTGGGCACTGTACAAAAAAATCCATCCCTGGTGTCCTTGGTTGATCTTTCTTGGGACTGATACATAGCTTTACCAAAGTTAGCCACCCCTGCTGGAAATACATTTGGTCGAGGGCTATTGTTCACTTCAGACAAACGCGACTCGCCCAAGCAAACTACATGTTTCAATGCACACGTCAAAATGAGAAAAAAGGAAACATGTAAAAGGTTTGCATTTTGCAATTTTTTTAACTCTCGGAAAATTCCAATTTTCAAAGCGCAAAAGCTTAATTGACCACGACGACAGCGACAACATAAACAACAAACACCAATTATGTAGATTAGCAAAACATCAGCTTGGAATGTGCATCACACTGGTACGATCACACTTAATTTCATTGTTTATTTAAAAAAAGCGTGATGCAAGTGCTTTTCTCATATTTTCACATTTTTTGGATTACATCCTTCGAGTTTGTCAAAGTCTGCGGGATTCGTTTTTCTATCTGGGAAAGCTTCATTGGTTTCTATATCTGCTGCTATCCTATTTCTACGATCCTCGAATGTTTATTTTCTGTTGGAGTTCGAATTTCGTGGAAACAGTTGTGTTGAATGAGAGCATGGCGGCGAAGATGGCATCTTTTGTCTCCTACCTTGTATATTATAATATTGTATATAGAGTGAATTTAAACAAATTATCAGGAAACTTTGTTGGAGCAATAAGGACAACAACCTGACAACAACAACCAACTGCTGGGCAAGTTTCATTGACTTATATTTAGTATTTCCTACAAATGTTATAGGATCGTATTTTTACCCCGTACAAACACTGTAATTTTACTAGAACTACTGTGGTACTATCACTGAGCCTGGGTTACCTGTGGCTGAACCTTCTTAAAAAAAGCTCTTATGAAAAAAAAAAATCGAAACAAACAACCGAAAAGAAAAAAAGAATACACCGAACGTCCTCAAATTATTCAACAAGTTCTCAATAAATAAATCACTGAAATAATAACGGAAATATACTTTCTGTTTGTTTGGCCTTTTTTCTTAGATAATAATGCAATTAACAGTCCGAGCTCTTATTTCCCTATCAACTATCTTTAAGTTGCGGAACTTTCGCTCAGTCAAAGCATGTGGATCACCGTAAATTTCTTTTCTAATGATGAGAGCCTTCTCAAAGTATTCTTTAGCTTCACTGTACTGGCCAAGGTTTCTGTAAACAATTCCCAGGTTGTTGTAACTTCCTGCTACGTTACCATGCTTTTCACCGTAAATCTCTTTTGTAATGATGAGAGCCTTCTCATAGTATTCTTTAACTTCACTGTACTGGCCAAGGTTTCTGTAAACAATTCCCAGGTTGTTGTAACTTGCTGCTACATTACCATGCTCTTCACCGTAAATCTCTTTTGTAATGATGAGAGCCTTCTCATAGTATTCTTTAGCTTCACTGTAATGGCCAAGGTCATTGTAAACAGCTCCCAGGTTGTTGTAACTTGCTGCTACGTTACCATGCTTTTCACCGTAAATCTCTTTTCTAATGATGAGAGCCTTCTCATAGTATTCTTTAGCTTCACTGTACTGGCCAAGGTTTCTGTAAACTATTCCCAGGTTGTTGTAACTTCCTGCTACGTTACCATGCTTTTCACCGTAAATTTCTTTTGTAATGATGAGAGCCTTCTCACAGTATTCTTTAGCTTCACTGTACTGGCCAAGGTCACTGTAAACAGCTCCCAGGTTGTTGTAACTTGCTGCTACGTCACCATGCTTTTCACCGTAAATCTCTTTTCTAATGATGAGAGCCTTCTCACAGTATTCTTTAGCTTCACTGTACTGGCCAAAGTTTCTGTAAACAATTCCCAGGTTGTTGTAACTTGCTGCTACATTACCATGCTTTTCACCGTAAATCTCTTTTCTAATGATGAGAGCCTTCTCATAGTATTCTTTAGCTTCACTGTACTGGCCAAGGTTTCTGTAAACAATTCCCAGATTGTTGTAACTTGCTGCTACGTCACCATGCTTTTCACCGTAAATCTCTTTTCTAATGATGAGACCCTTCTCATAGTATTCTTTAGCTTCGCTGTACTGGCCAAGGTCTCTGTAAACATTTCCTTGTGTGCTGTATATGTTCGCTCTTAACACTTTGTCTTCCTTGAAATCATTAAGAAAATGTATAAAATTACAGATTGACGTACCAAAAAGACATGCATCCGACGGGTTACTAAGGTCACAGCAAACATCAGCGGCTAGAGAAAGCCACGAAACTAACTTTCCAGGGTTGATTGAATTTAGGAATACTTTTGATTTAGTGAAATCGGTGTTAACAATTACGTGTAATACTTTACAGTGACTCGTAATTACACGTAACTTAGCAAACACATGCGTACTTGAATGTAACCGATTTATGTTCTCCTCCATGAAAGAGTGAAAGATCTTGATAACATCAGAAATGCACTCAACTCTATCTGTTGGGTCAATTTTAGATGTTATAACTGCCTTGAGCACTTCATGAACGATGTTGTGCATCCTTATAAAGGTATATGAGCTGTCTTTGTCGTGTGAACAGGACAATAAGGAGGCTTTGAAAAGTTTAGTTTTGATCAATTCTTCTGTTTCCCCATTGATACGTAATTTAACGAAGTCAACAGCAACTTCCATCGGAAGAGACTCAGGTGCGCTTAGAGAAAACAAATACAATACTTCTCGAAGAACGTCATCACTTTCTAAAGCTCTCATAATTGCCATTTGAATAGCAGTAGTTGTTGTTTTGGAATACGCTATGTTCTGATTTGCAAGAAGTTTTTCTGTCGCTTCACGTTCGCCGTGGGAAAGTGCTTCCAAGTAGTCTTTCCAGTGGTAGTTCGGAGAACCACTAACCACAATGGTTTGTACATAAAAGGCAGCGGCTGCTAAAGCAAGTGGCTGATACTCAAGAACTTCAGCGACTTTTTCATCTTGGTTCTGATCCTGAATCTGAGATACTTGTCGTAATAGGTTCACTGCGTCATCGGGATGCATTCCATTGCTAAGAGACTCATGGTAAGTAAGTGGAGCATTGGAGGGTATTGAGCCGCTATCTTGAGTAGTTATTAGCACCTGACCATGGCCCCATTCTTCACTACCGGTCGGAGGCAGATCCCTACAAACCAATGATAGGTCAACAACATTATCTGCAATTATCAGCCAATTGGAAAACTGCTTTGTCTTTGGATAAATGACTCGCTTCAGATACTGGATTTTTTCTCTTGGGTTCCCCTTTGTAGACGTCTCGAGGTTGGTCAGAGTGTATTCTGTTATTCCCAAATGTCTTGCCAGCCTTGAATAGGACTCTACGAGTGAATCCAGGGTTTCTGTATTTAGGGTTGCAACAAACGTAAGACTGTCGTTCTCATGCAACCTCCTATCGAAAATGTCCTGTCCCAGTTGTCGAGCCAATTGGCTTTTTCCGCAGCCTGGTATTCCTGATAGATAAATAGTGCTGATGGCTCCATTACTTTCGTTGTAAAGCTCGTCCAGTTTTTTCATGATTCTTTTGACATCAGTTGATCGTTTGATGATTTTATGTGATGGCTTGAATGTCAGAGTACAGAAAGAGCCGACTTTGGAATTGATTTCCTGAGTAAGTGTTTCTACTTCTTCCTGTTTTGTCTGTAATGTGGCTTGGATCGATTGTAATTCCGAGGTTAGATTTTTGTTTTCTTGTTCTTTGGTTTTCAACTCAGCTTTAAGATTATCAGCCTGCATTTTAAGGCTGTTTACTCGAGCTGTTGGAAAGTCTGTCTGGTTTTTTATATCATCAACTTCATTTATCGGAAGCTTCAGTGAATTAAAAGCAGCTAACACTCTTGCTACATAATTATGGAATTCAGCATCAGTAAGTTCAACCTCGTTCAAGTGAGCGACATCATTTCGAACTTGTCTGAGATCGTCAACTTCTTTTCTGACTGCTGGACTAAGAGTACTGCCAATGCAATCCGAGTACAAAATAGCAAGAAATAGGCAACTGCAATCCCACTCAGCTGTGTTTCCCCTTTGTATTGTCGCCAAAAGTCGCGCATTCTTTGTGTGACTCTTTCGTGATTCTTTATTGTAGAAATCGCGGCCATTTTGTGAAATATCTTTCCATTCCCCAAACGGAGTTGTCTTGTAAAGGAAATCCCACTCTCGTTTGAAGACTTTTCGAAGCCCTTGGGGAACTAAGTTGAAGGCGATGTAACATGCTCTAAAATAGTTTAATTGTTCCAAAGTGTACTCCATGTTTGATTGGGATCTAGTAAAAAATGTGCCCAAGGAAGAACATCAGGCCCCGGTTGTTCAAACGTTGGATAGCGCTATCCACCGGATAAATCACTATCTAGCGGATACGTATTGGGGAAACTAATTGCACTATCCACTGGATAGAGATTTATCCGGTGGATAGCGGTATCCATCCTTTGAACAACGGAGGCCAGGTATCAGTAGATTATTTCAGAAAGTATTTCAAGTCAAAGATACGAGAAAAAACTCGTATCCAGCCTTTATCAACTGCCAAACTTTTGCGCTCCATAAGTCTGCACAGAATAAACATTTTTTCCTGGAATTTTTTTTAAAAGAAAGCTCTTGATGAGCTTTATTCAGTCGTCAAAAAATTGCAAATCTAGAAAAATGATGATTTTTTACCCTGGATGATACCTTAATATGTCAAAGCACAGCAATAGAAAAATCAGAATAAACTAATTGAGAAATATCTTTCCTCTTTTATGCGTCATTCAGTTACAGTTTGTATGAAATAAATTGCAGCTCATTTCCACGCGAGCGAGCACATTTCCCATTTGCAACGCTTTCTTTCCAGCTCGTCGTGTTGCCTCGCAAGAGGCACTCGATATAAAGCTTGTAACGCGGGGCTGCCAGTAAAACGGCCAATCAAAACTCGATACATTATTTTTAGTGAAAAAACCGTGTTGTGATGTTTCTAAACTTAATACAGTTAGCAGCCGCAAAGTGGCATTCACAAAACCGTAGAATGTGAACGTCTGTACTGCATTCTCCAAATTTGTGACCGCAGACAGCTAACATATATTAGTACATACACACTCAGTGATCTTGGTGATTTAAGCAATCTGATTGGTTCGTTATCTCGGACTATTCAACAATAGTCACCTCCTAGCGAGTGGATAATGTGTGAGCTCGGTGTTTTTCCCATTTTTTTTTAGAGAAAGATCTTTTAAAAGTGGACAAAATCCTAGGGTTGACTTTTTTAAGGCAAGAAAAGACTTGGAAGGATTCAATACGGCGTTTTTCAGTTTACTGTAGGTGAGGTTTGTGCTCGATGGATTGTTTACAACTCCCGTGTATTCGCGTAGAAGAAGCTGTTTCGTGAACTCAGCGTTTTCTAACAGAAAACTTTGGCTCAAAAATCGAAGTTTATTTATGACAAACAAATTTAAAAGGAAATGTTTGTAGTAATTCTACGTTTCAAGTAAACAGGAAAAAGAATGATACAGGAAGACGACGTCTTACCTCGAGCAACTGAGCCGCCATTTTTGTCGTCAGCATTTCATGCGAAGAAAGATACAATAAACCCTTTTGGCTATAAACTTGGAGAGTCAACAGAAAACAATAAAGCTCTACTTTTCTTCTCAGGTAAGGAAACAGTTCAAACTTTCAGCGGTTCCATTTAAGCCATTACGCTGTTGTTTGCGAAATGATAAACTTGTGAATTGTCATGTCTGAACATTCTACAAAGATCTATTTTTAAACTTTCGCGTGATTTGATCTGTCAATCAAATCGGGAGCAATGGTGGCGCAGTGGTGAGAGCACTCGCCTCCCACCAATGTGGCCCGGGTTCAAATCCCGGCGTCGACGCCATATGTGGGTTGAGTTTGTTGTTGGTTCTCTCCCTTGCTCCGAGAGGTTTTTCTCCGGGTACTCCGGTTTTCCCTCTCCTCAAAAACTAACATTTCCAAATTCCAATTCGACCAGGAATCAGGTAGACGAAGAACCACTTTGTGGATGTGCTACCTGCAATCGTTATTTATTTATTTATTTTTTTATTTAAATCGTACCGTTTTAATGGTTTCCTCTCTGATTTTGTTGAGATCACTTCGTGTGTATATACTAAAACAATTATTCTTTGAAATCGAGGTGAATAGTGGCTGGAATAATTGTTCAATGTACATGTATTTTCAGATGGTTAAACTGACGTAAGTCGCTGGTTATTCACTGCGCATTTCTTACTGCGCATAACAAGATTGCCGCCGTGAAAAAGAGCATCAGAAGTAACATTATTAAAATGAAGTTGACTGAAGAGAAACGCTTTTGGAATTTTCGCTTGCGGTTGTTTCTTGCCGAGATGAGACTTTGTTTGTTGGGAATGTGAGTTCGACTTCCTCAGGAGAACCTTGATAGTGTATGTTAGACTTGTGCTAACTCACTTTGATTTAATTTCATTTTAGTGCCATCTTTATCACATTGCGTCCTAACTGTGATATGTTGATGTAAATTCTGTATAAAACGATTTTTTAATGCTTTCTTCCCCCTTCCTTTCATACATGCCATTTTAAAACTCACCCCAGTCCTCGCTCAAAAATCGGAGGAAATGCATTTGGGGGCACTTTCTGCAGCTCTATCGCAAAAACGAGTGCGATGACCCCTATTTTTTATTTCATGATTTTGATAGGAACAGTGCTTCCTTTCAATGAGTAAAAATGGGCATAAATCTATGTTCAGGTTTTTGGCAATTCTACTAAATTGTACGGATTGAGCTATAACGGGTCGATTAGCGCGTGTCCAAATTAAGTCAGCTACTTTGGAGCGTAAAGTAAAAACAAGGGCATTAAAAGGCATTTTTCTTGTACGTAAGTAAGTCGATAAACAATACACTTAACTCAAATTTAGCCTGTGAACAGGCTCTCTGTTTGGGGAAAAAATAGCGAGGAAAGGGAGGGAGGAGAGAGCCCTTTTCGCTTTTCCCTCTTCCCAGTTCCCCGCTCGACCAAAGGCCTGTTCACAGGCTAACTCAAATTCTGTGCGAGACCACATGCATCATCGAAAAAATATATCCTTTTTGTCTAGCTCTGGGCTGCGCGCGGTTTTTACCAAAGGGTCCTAAATAGCCGTAATTGTCAGCATTGTGACGTGAAAACGAGCACGGTGACCCCCACTTTTTATTGCATTTTTATCATCTCCTTGACTTGTTAAATCAGTGTGCCAAGTTTCATCTACAATCTATGTTAGATTCTTTTGCTAAGGAATCACTTTAAGTCGTATAGGGCGCACCGAATTAATTAATAAACCCCTTTTATGCGCAGGAATCTCATTAACTTGCGTAGGAATATATTAACGCCCATGGCGTCATAGCTTCTTGTCTTTATCTCATGAATATAATGCTGCGGAATCTAATTAAGATAAGGTCGTGTGCTATTTTAAGGTGTTTTAACCGGTTTGACAGGTTTTCTAGTTACTTCAAGGTCGATAAATACCTTGGTTTTCGGTTGGGTGATTAGAAAATAAGAAACGTTTTCATTGGTTAAACATGGGAAAACAAAAGAAATACAGTCAATCAAACCTCTCGGTACGGACACGTCTCTATTACGGACAGTTCGTTTGGTCCCAGAAATGCCAAATAGGGTATCATACATTGCCTACCTCTATAATACGGACACTTCTGTAAAGTGGACACTTGGTTCTGTCCCTTTGGTGTCCGTATTAAAGAGGTTTGACTGTATGGTGGTCATGGTGGAGGGAAAACAATAGAAATGTGGTGGTGGTGGCGGCTGTGAAGAGAAACAATCGAAATGTGGTGGTAGCGGTGGTGGTGGTGGAGGGAAAACAATAGAAATGTGGTGCTGGAGAGAGAACAATAGAAATGTAGAGGTGATGGTGGTAATGAAGGAAAACAATAGAAATGTACATGTATTATGCGAATACAGTTAATCCTTATTAATACGGACACCAAAGGGACAGAACCAATTACAAGTGTCCGCTTTACAGAGGTGTCCGTATTATAGAGGTAGGCAAAGTATCATATTTTTGGCATTTCTGGGACCAAACGAACTGTCCGTAATAGAGAGGTGTCCGTTTTATAGAGGTGCCCGTACCGAGAGGTTTGACTGTAACGATTATTTTGGCCGGACATTGTCTGTTGGCCGGGTGTTATTTTGAGCCCTGCAGCACAACGTCCAAGCTTGAGTAAAGCTCTACTCTTATCCCCTCCCCACCCCTCCCCCCTCCTGCCTTCCCTCCGCCTCTCAACAGGCCGCTAATGGTAGGTTCATTCAGGGCATCAAAACCTCAATTATTTTTGCATTAATTGACATATTTTGTATTTACAAGGATGTATATCTTTCCAAGTCGCTTTTGTAAAAACAACAAAAGCGACTTGGAAAGATATATATCATTGTAAAAAGAGTCTAGAGGCTAGTCTTGACCCAGTGGCAGGTGCAAATATGCACATATCAACTAACTGTGCACTGCCCAGTTAGTTATGTGAAGGTATCGTGAAGTCCAGTAATCGTTAGGTCATCCATCATACTAACTAATCACAAGAGCTTAGGCACTTGATATATAATGCCGTTATTGGTTGGTTATAAAGCCCCAGGGGGTTGTAGCCCTAATGGGTCATAGATATTGTGGAATATTACATTATGTATTTGCCATGATTTGCACTAGTACAGTATTTTATAGGATTTGTGATACGCGTTTTGTAGTAATGCCTCACTGTATTAGTGAAAAATTAAGCTCGAAAACTTAACTCAAGCATGCAAGCACTCCTTACTTGACTTGAATACCTCAGAACTATTATAATTATTACTTTATTAATTTCATTTACTCTGTTTTTAAATTTCTCCCTTCACCATTTATGCGAACTTCTTTGGATCACCAATCCAGAGTTTATAATGAGTTTATGATGAGCGCGGACGGCTGGCTACCCAACAAATACGGTGCTTCATATAATTACCACATATGAACTATTTTCTTGAATATTTACCTGGGTTTCTGTGCGGGTCCCTTGCACGAACTTTGGCAAAACTAAATCGTTGGCCAAGCAGGCTACGGACACGGTACTCTGACAGTTCTGAAACAGGAAGACAGAGTGTTAACGGGGGTTTGGAAGTCACGGGATTTCATAGATGAGGCCTTCATAATGTTTTATTTCCTTCTATATGTAAATCGCCAGAACTGTTCATGTTTACAGACTATGTGTCAAACTCTGCAGGCCCCTTTGATATCTAATGTGGCTGCCGTTTACTCGTTTAACTCTTTTTTTCAATCGATTACTTAGGGAAGCCAGTCAATCACAGATTGAAACATCTTCTAATGTACTCTCAAACAAACCAGTACTGAAGGCCACTGAAATTGCTTAGTTCATGGCATTACTTGATCGTCGAGGGCGCATCTGAATGATCAGAGAGATAAACTTCGAATTCAGAGTAACTTTTTACCTTAAATCCTCGTATTTACGTTTTTAAGACATCTTTTTTGTTCTGTATTCTTATCGATTCATAGACACTGAGAAGTGCCGAAAGTAAACTGCGATGTGAGCATCGCATTTAAACATTTGATAAGTTCAGCGTAAAATTTTCGCTTCCAAAATGCAAACTTACGATTTCACAAAGTTTTCCGTCCCTTTGTCTGTTCTAGCCGTTCGAAGGGTGCTATAAACTGTAATGCGATCAAATTATAAATCCTAATGCTATAGAGCGTTGACTTATCAGGGAAGGAATTTTCAGTGAAATTGAAAGTGAGATTAAATATAACCTAGTTTCGGCTGATTGACTTAACTTCCTCGGAGTATGATCGAGGTATAAAGAGTGCTTTCTTGAATATTTAATGAGGGTTTTTACTTGTTCTCACAGTTCAAAAGAAACGAAGTACTAGCTCAAAACGGTCAATAACTGAAACACACCTCAGACTGCACTAAAACTGCTAAATTTATAAAACCCCTTGATCTCCGTGCATATCTAACAGACCTAACAAGATCTAAACACATAATCAAAGATAAAATTCGGTGTAAATTTTTGCTTCAAATGTACTTACGTTTTTAACACCTTTCAGTCGGTCGTCCTACCGTCTGTAATCGAGGCGTGGTCAGATGATTAGAGAGGTGCGAAAGTAAAGTGCGATAACATCAAATCTCTGAAGCTGTACTGCTATGGCGTTGACTAATCAAGGAACTTTCGGGGAAACTGAAAGTGACATTAAATGTGCTATCGACTGATTATGACCTTGCTACGGCTGACTAACTTGACCTCCTCTGACTGAGTCTAGGGGAGGAACGTACTTTCTTGAATGGGTGTTTTGAAAGGTAAATGCGCGACAAAGAAAAAAAAAAGAAGAAGAAAACAACATGCTTTTAGGGCTGTTTTGTCACCTTATAAATGAGAATATTATTACTAAAAAGAGCACATCTCTGATTATGGATACTGGCGATATTGGCAAATTTTCCCCAGTCACACCTCCCTCACTCCAGAATGAAAACAAGGAGGGCTGTTCTTAATGTCACATGATGACTATATGGACTTTAGAACAATTAACACATGATCTACAACCAAGTAAATTTACTTTAGTAAACAAAGAAGCGAATTATTGCTGACGGACGAGATAAATTTGCTATTATCCAGCCGGTGTTGCGTGGAACTTGCGTCCCATGCAAGGTAATCCGCAAACCGGAAGTTTAAAAGTTGTTGCTTGTGGAATCTGGAATGCTGGGGTTTGGAATCCAGAATTCTAATCCGGAATCACACGAAGTTCCACCGTCAAGGGATCCAGAATGCAGTGCCTGGAATCCGGAGGCACAGCACAGATTCCAGAATCCAAGCTATTAAAGACTGTCTTGGATTAGCGTTGGGACGAAATGTTCATCCTAGTTATAATAAAGCTAAATGTCAGTTATTTTTCTTATCCCTTTTGTTTTCGTTTTATTCTTTCTTGTTTATTTACCAACTTCTTCTTTTAACGGGCGGGGCTTAAATACTTTTTGAAAAAGTGATTTCCGAATTTTCTCAGAAAAAAAAACTGGAGCACTCGTGATGGACGAGGGACCATTGTTGCTCTAGAACAACTTACAACATGTCTGAAGCTACGAACCAATCGATCAGTTAAATTAATTGGAATCAATTTGAACTGCATGGAAAGCTCAGCCTGCTCAGCGTAGTGACACCTTTGCCGTATCTTTGTGTGCTAATTTCCCACTGTAAACACAGCAGCCAATGAAAAAAGGAAATTTAAATAGAAAAAAAAAAACTGAATCAGCCAACGAGTTAGTGTCTCCTATTCCCCATTCCTCTCGACGATAAGTTTCCCTGTAAGCACAGGGGATAAGATTTGAGAAGCAAGAGCTTGCCGGCCAGGACAGTTTAAACGCGACGTTTTGCCACTGGAAATGGTGTACATAGTCCAGAAAATTTTGCATGGGACCACAGGAATTGTTCCCTCCATCTCCTCCTCCCCTATTCCCATCCTTCCCAGTCTATTTAGCATTCAGTGTTGTCTGGCTAACGACTGCAATAACCAGAGTTTTGCTCCTCGGCTTTCGCCTACATTTGTTCCATCAGCTTCCACTACACTTACCATAAAGCTGATTTTAACCCTTCACCGGAATACTTGCCTCTGTATTCTTTGCCCTGAGTGTGTCTTTATACTGAAAAGCCAGTTTAGAAAGTAAAGCATAGGCCGTTTCTCGTCTTGAGCTGGGCAGAAAAAACGAAAGCAGTCACAGCTGGCCAGTAGGTGCAAAATTGATTTCTATTTTCTGACAGATAGTTTCAATCTGATAAAAACGTAGAAAGCTTCAAAGGCGCTTAGTATGTCACGAGGACATTACTGTTTTAGGTCAATTATGAGCTAAAGTCATTCACAAAATGGTGATGGAGTCTGATTTAAAATCAAGTTCGTTTACTATTTCTAATTAAGACTGAATACAAGGCCCCAACGAAGAAAAATATGTAACAACCACATATTGACTGGTAGGGTAGATATTGCAGTTTTTAACGATACGGCTCTTTCGAGAGCTTCATAATGGAGTTAGCAACCGGCAGAAAGGTCACCTTTCGTGCCAGCCGTCGATCGACTGTCAGGGGAGCCGCCTTTGTTACCCCCCCAAATATGGCTGAATCGCACTTCATCATGCATGGGCCAACACACGTGCAACAGTCGTGGTTTAAAGAAGTATGCATAATTATTTCGTGGGATTAATTAAGTATAAGAATGATTTGGAGAACTTGTTTGTGAGTAGTATTAAAAAAGCGTTATGTTCACTTTTCCCCCTCCCCAACTCTTGAATCCCGGCACACATGATTTTAGTACACATATTCAAGAAAACCGCAACGTTTCAAAGAACATGTAGGTCCATGCGATCCATGCATATTTATCGAGATATAGTTTTGTGGTAGAGTCGTTTGTTTAACTCCGAAATTTAAGAGACTACTCATAATCTAGTTTTTTGTGTTTTTTGTTTTTCCGGTTGCAATGTTTGAAAACGCTGGAACGTACAACGTTGTGATTTTTGAACGTTTCCTCGTTGATTCCCTCAAGGATCTTTTCTAGCCCCACTGTTGTTCATTATCAGTCTTCCCTGGTATCAATTAGCTCGAGACCAAGAATGTATGCCGACGATACCAAGTCCAAAAACATTCACCGATTTAGTTTTCTCAAACTGCTGTACTTGCAGTGGAACGAGGTCTTGGGATCACATGCTTCCTGTACGTTTTCTGGAGTTCTTTTCGAATGTCTCGTTTGAAGAGAGCGTACGCGATCGGATTTGCAGCACAGTTTACGGGTATAAGGAAACTAATAACTTCCACAACTTTTTCTGATGGATCGGAAGAAAAAACTAGAAAACCAACAACACTGTACAGTTCAACGGAGTAGCAGGCAAGAAAAATTACGACTACAATAACGATTACTGTGGCTGCGGCATAGTCTTTTGTTCTTTGGCGATTAGGCTCATTATATTGTAACTGGGAGTTAAGAAGAGCATTTTTACGCCAATGTCTTCTTGCAGTTATTATGATTTGTGTCGTAGTTATAAGCAAAAACAGACAGGGAAGAATCTCGAAGAAAATCATCTTGGTTGATACGAGAGCTTTGCTTTCTAAGTTGCACTTTCCCAGGCGGGTGCATAAAGCTGGAATATAGTCGAGAATTAATGGTATGAGCCACGCAAGAGCTATAATGATTGTGGCTCGACGAGAAGTCATTAATGCTACGTATCTCAGGGGTTTCATGATAGCTATGTAACGATCAGTCGTCATAGCACATAAATTCGTTATTGATGAATTAATCGCCAGTACAGCTATATCTTGAGCTATTTCTTTCTTGCAAAGGGAACTTTCTCCACACAGAAAATTGGTGGGAAAATAGATGAAACCAACAGCAAAGTCAGCCAAAGCCAGGGACGTTATAAACCAGTTAGGCCGTGTGTGTAATCGTGGCCGGGAAACAATTAAAAACACAACCAGGGCATTTCCAAAGACTGCAACAACGCTTGGAAACCAACCAAGGATGTAGAACCATGACATCGTACTCAGTAAAGATGCTCACAGCTGTCTTTTGACAGTTAATTTGAAATCGACGCATGAGAATTGTGGATTTCTCGAACGTGATGGTGAGGTGGTCAGCTGAATCCTTAATTCAAATTAAGTGGAAACTGAAAAAAAAAAAAAAGAAACCCATTAACCGCCTTCAATTTATGTAGATATAGAACTAATCGCTTGCACTATAAAAAACATAACATCTGCTTCTATGCAATTTATTCTCACAAACTTGAATGTTACAGGTTGCTCAACGGGTGTTGGTGAGTTTAATTAGAGAGCTTCGTTTGGCCCCCCAGAGGCAGTTTTCAAGAGTCAAATCTATAATAATCAAAGAAAACCATCTGTAATATTCTGCTTGGGTTGAACTGTCAAATGCCGCTCTTAAATTACTTGTGTCAAAAATTGTTTATTTGATAGATGCTTTTGCTTTATTTTTCATCCCCGGAAAGTAACATCTACCCTGGGTACCAGAGGTTTTTTTCTCACGTGTGACGGGGAGCTTCGTTTCGTCAGCCGTAGGCCGAAGACACGAGCGGCGAAGCTTTTCG